CTGTCTGGCGGTCGCCAAAAGGGCCGCGACTTTCCCGAAAAATAAATTAGTGTGATAAGGCACGAGGCTCGCCCGAGTGCTTTTTCTTGGGCCGCGGACGTTCCGATAAAACTCTGGAGGCTTGCGCCTGTCTCTAGCGATAACATTGAGCCGCGGGTGGCCAAAAAACAAATCTAGGGTCGCGGATGGTCAGTCAATAATTACGCTCGCTCACCGCCGTACCGTTAGGGGCCGCGGGTGCTCGCAGTAATTGTCTGAGTGCTCAAAGCACATTGTTCCGCATTCTTTACAAATTGGCACAGTAAACGAATGTTTGGCTTCTTTGTTGCCAGAATCTACTTTGTTTTATGTCTTTAGTGATCGTTTTCAGCTACTTATCAAACTAAAGAAAACGAATCACTTTCGTGAGGACTGGGAAGTCTGATCATTTGAATATGTAATTTTTGCCGCCTTCCGTTGCAATAGGCTTGGTCACGCAGTCTTATCGTACTACCTACCCTGTTATCTGCCAACATAGGGTTGCGGAACCACCCATGTCTTCTTAGGAATAGTAATTTCGGCTGGAATTGCTAATCTGAGGAGAAGAAGGTATAGTAGTCTTGAGAGATAAAGAATCTAAATGTATGAATGCTTTGAGTAAGTTAATGAAGTGTGGTACAATCACGAAGAATTGTGGTAAGCGCACTTTTTTGTAGTTGTGCCACACCCCATTGATTTACATTCGAAGAAAGTTTCATGGATTGATATATATAATTTAAGCTCGATTATTGATGGATCTTGGCATAATGTAGTTGTTTGTATCTGTTTTTTTGGGCGGAGAGATGATCAAGATTGTTATCATGCTTTATTCAGTCAGACTACGTTTCAGTGCCGTCACCTTCTCGGAGCGTGGAAGGTCGCACAATTCAGTGATTTGTTCCCCTTTTAACATCTCTTTTAAAAGAAGACTGCTCTTAACAATAGGCTGAAGGCCGAGTGGAGATTGTTAGTGCTCATCTCGGCAGTCTTCGAAGCGGGGTTGAGCAACCACCAAACACAGCGTCTGCACAGTTAGTGATAGCAGAGATCAGTGAAACTGCCTTGTATAGATGACCCTAGTCTCAGTGTGGATGAAGTCCGCAAAGGGACTGATATGAGATCAAATCACCATTTATGGCGGCGCCTTCTCCCTGGCTTTTCTTTGCAGGAACTTTGGATCTTATCCAAAATGATTCCAGCGTTTCGCGAGGAACTAATTCGGGTTCACGCGTTCAAATTGTGACAGCTATATTGAAATGCTGATCTGGTAATTTTTTCTGAGATGTGCGCCTGATTATGCATGAATACTAATTGCTCAATTGGTCAGCCAGGCATTTATCGTCCCCTCCACAGATCGTGCTACCCTTGCGGCGTCGCGGACTTGCCACGTGTGACTAACACATTGGCAACGTTGGCAGCAACACGTTGGCAACATGCAGCAACATGATGGCGTGGCCAAAATGTTCTGCCAACATGTTGGGGCACGTTGCCAACATGTTAGCCACATGTGGCAGGTCTGAGACGCAGACCAAGGGTAGCACGATCTGTGGAGGGGACTATACATGGAGACAGGAGTAGTTTACTAGTTAACATGTCGAACATGCCGGAAACAGTACGAAGCAGGGATTAGCAGGCCTTTACATGTAAGAATCAAAAAGCACCGAGGTGGTCTTACAAGATCTAAATCCAAACCTCTCTAGGCGTACATCGCAGAGAAAATCACCCAGATCAGCATTTCAATACAGCTGTCACAATCTTAACGCGTGTACCAACTCAGATAGTCAAAGGGATACCTCCGGCGGGCAAATGGCGCGAGTCTGCCACTTCGCGCTCTGGAGCGCTCCGAACCCTGCCATTTCACGCATTTTGCTGTCCCGGACCTCTCCCAAAACTGGCGCACCTCCGGAGCAGAGATTTGCGCATCCCGGAGAGGGGTCCCATTCGTCTGCTTGTGACGTCACCGTGACGTCACCGAAGTCACGGTGAACGAATGGGACCCCTCTCCGGGACGCGCAAATCTCTGCTCCGGAAGTGCGCCAGTTTTGGGAGAGCCCCGGAGCAGCAAAATACGTGAAATGGCAGGGCTCGGAGCGCTCCAGAGCGCGAAGTGGCAGACTCGCGCCATTTGCCCGCCGGCGGTATCCCTTCGACTTCTGAGAAAGCACCCTTTGACTCAATGAGACTGGCGGCTGGAAGGTGACCGCCCGCGCCCGCGTAGTCTGAGTCTCTTTTACAAAAGTGCTCTCCGATCATTCTCTAGACCATTTGGGTCACAAAGCCCCTCGTTCTAGTTGCCAATCCAGTTGAATTAGAGGCCATGATTGTAAAACGCTGGGACCACTTTGGATAACATTCAAAACTCCTGCCATGGACCGCAAAGAAGAGGGCATTGCCATGAATAGTGATTTGATCCCATATCAGTCCCTTAGCGGATTTGATCTACATTGAAATTAGAGTCATATATATGAGACAACTAGCTGGCTTACCCGGCTCCGCCCGGCCCTGTGAAAACACTGTAATAAAGGTCCCATTCCTATCTCTGTACAGCCTTTCCCTGTGCCTACTTCCACCTTCAGTTTTCGTTCCCTGTGTTGTTTTCGAAATCAGCATGCCCACTTACTCCCCTGCGCCAGTTCCCAGCCTCGTAGCTCAAACTTTGCAAAAAATCGATAAAATCGATAAAAGTAATGGATAATTTTGAAAACTGATATTGTAATCGTAATTGGCATGCTCCATTACCCCCTGTGAAAACTCCCAGCCCAGTAGGTGAACTCTGCAAAAATTTCGATCGATGATGAAAAGTGGCCTGTGACATCCGCTCGGCCCCGAAGTGTATGTGTGCAAAGTTTGGTCCGAATCAGTTCAGAAGTGGAATTTTTTATTCGAAACATACGTACAGACAAACAGACAGAGAAACAGACAAACAGACATTCAGCTTTATATATAAGATAATACTGGTCACCTCTTGGTCGTCGATCCCCACTAAGCACTTAGTGGACGAATTTGAATAAAATTTGAACTAGAGCACGCCGGTTGCGGCAGAGAGCGCGGCACCGTCAGATCCGTTTCAAGCTCAGACCAGTATTCTTTTGCGTTTTCTTGACGTTGCATGATGATTTTTTATGACGTTGTGATCGAAATCGACGAGTTTGTTGGCTCAACGATGTTTCATACCACTATGCTCGTTTCTGTACTATTTCCAGATAGAATTCGAAAATCGACGCACATGAGAACTTTTGACATAAAGGTCAATGGAGCAACACTTCAAAATTACTTACCAAGATAGGATTTCACTAGCACAGCTTTCGAACTTAGCCGTTTCTCCGAAATCAAAGTCGAAGAAACGAGCGTAGCAGCAAGAAACATCCCGCGAAAGAACAAAATCTTCAATCCCAATTGTGAATACTGGTGACATTTAGAAGTAGAATGAAACGTCGGCAAATCACAAAGGATCTATTCAATATTGAAATAAGGGCTGAAGGAGCCTTCGCTCTGCCGCAGTCGACGTGCTCATAAATTCGATTTCCTCCACTAAGTGTTTGATGGGGAGAGGACGACTATACTAGCTGTGCAGACTGTGGTTGGTGGTTGCTCAATCCCGATTCGAAAACTGCCGACGTGAGCATTGACGATGGTTTCCGCCACGGACTTCAGTCTAATGTCAAGTGTAGCCTTGGCCTGAACAAGATGTTTAAAGGAACAAACCACTTGAATGCAACTTTCCAGGTTCCGACGAAGGTGACGGCACCGAAACGTTAGCCTGGGGAAGAAGACGTGTTAACAATTTGGCTATCGGCTTAAGAAAACATGTACAAATATTAGGTTGGACCGAAAGTTCGTTCGCACCATTTTCAAAAATTCATAACTCTTTAAATTCTTAACCAATTTGTAAGAACAAAATTTTGCCTAAGAGAGAAACTCATGCTCTTTGCAAATGTACCTGAACTGTTCGTTAATGTATACAAATGAAGGAGATAGAAGCTCAAAACTAAACCACTCAAAGTTTGAATTTTTCGTGTAGGGTCACAAAAAATCGGAAACTTGCAATAAAAATCGGAGCAGTCGGTATTGTAGGTTATTTCACCAGCTCTTTCTAACTGTCTAAAGTTTGCGCCGATTGAGCGTCTCTGTGAAAAGTTATGATTTTCGAGCAAGCAATACAAAAGGGCGAATTTGATTTATTTTGGCATTCAGGGAAATCATAACTTTTCATAGAGACGCTCAATCGGCGCAAACTTTGCACTGTTAGAAAGAGCTGGTGAAGGAACCCACAATACCGACTGCTCCGATTTTCGTTGCAAGTTTCCGATTTTTTATGACCCCACACGAAAAATTCAAATTTTGAGTGGTTTTGGTTTTGGGCTTCTATCTCCTATACATTAACGAACAGTTCAGGTACAGGTGCAAAGAGCATGAGTTCCTCTCTTATACAAAATTTTGATCATACAAATTCGTTGAGAATTTGAAGAGTTATGAATTTTTGAATTTGGTGCGAGCGAACTTTCAGTCCAACCTAATACATAAATAGCTTGAATTACCTAGTTTACACAGGAGGAACTTAAAACTAATTTGTGCTCTTTGATCTGTGTAATGGTTGTTTAGAATGCACAAGCTCCAACAATAAGAGCAGAACTGGAATAAACATGATTTACCTGACGTCTAATCTCGTAGTTTGGCTGTTATTCAAAGTGGATTTCTAAAAAGACGGGACAAAGACGGAGTAGTTCTTTGTACTGATTGCAAAAAGAAGTAAACAAAACTTTTAAACAGTATTTTCAAACAGTAAACAATGTTTGGAAATAATCATTTTATTTGGCGGCCCAATTGGAATCTCATTATCATTTCATAGAAAGACTTTGCAGTTAACGAAGATAGATCAAGATCAGTGTTTTAAGAGCTATGTACTCTCATACCTTTCTTGTCGCGACCTAGTATTCTTCCCTTGTTACTTGCCTTATGAGTTCGAAAAACTTTACTAACAGGATATCCCGGACCCACAACCTGACCCGATCTGCCGCTACTATGCCATCAATGTGACTTTCAAAGACGGAACATATTCGTTTTGGAGCTCCAACATTACTTGCTACGAATGTGAGTTGTGATTTTTGTAACATTGTTGAGCTTGGTATACTTTGGCGGTGTACAGTCCATGTCAACCTTGAGTTCCCTTTTCCACCAACCGAATCGCATTGCCGGAGCCTCGCGTGGCGTTCGCGTGCGTATAGCTGCGCATTCGAGAACGCCTCATCGATCGGGACGCCGCGCTATGCCCTTGCGGTGCGGACGCGCAACTGTTACGGAAAAGGGAGCACTTGGTTGACGTCGATTGTAGAGCGATTCGCACGACCGTAATGCTTTCCATAAAGGACCACCTTTCGTGCGCGAAAACTCTACTGCGGCTTTTGACTAATCAAAGCACAGGGTGACGTAATGGGACAAGATATCAAGGTGGCGCAAACTGTCCGTGCGAAGAGATTGTCTCCCGTATATTACAGATGTGCTTAATTATGTTAGCATTAAGAAATACTAGGTTGATCTAGAAGTAGTGAATCAAAAGGATTATTTTCTACAAATTGAGGGGTTTATTGTTGATCAACATGAACAACTAACAGCGGTTTTTGAGTGTTGTCGTAACAGCACCTTAAAGCTACTCTCCCATAAGCCTTTCAGCCGCACTTCGAAGAAGTCAATTGAACTTTCTTGAACGCTATTGAATACGTGCTGCTGTACCCTAAAGTTTGAACACAGTTCACTCGAAATGGCTTTTCAAGCCATTTTAATGCTTTTTAGGAAATTCAAAATGCAAATTTAACAAATTTTATTTTCCATCTTAATGCTTACTAGAATGCAAAAACACTTGATCATTTTGATAGAAGGGGCAGATTGTTCGGATAAATTCGATATTTGCGCAGAGTTTTTTTAGCTTACGAAACGTGTTTGACCTAAATTTGAAATGAAGGGAAGGTCGAAGTCGCTTGCATATTTACAGGGCTTGTCAAACGCAGTGTCGCTTGCATCAGCATCTCCACTCCCACGCTGAAGTCTGCATCTCTTCCGCGAACATCCTCTCTGATCACTTTCCCAGGGCGAGCGTGGGAAAGGCGGAGCCTCAATCGATTGGAAGTGATTAGAGAGCATGTTAGCGGAAGAGACGCAAAGTCCATTGCAGGAGTGGAGATGCTGATGCAAGCGACACTACGTTTGATAAGCTCTGTAGGTCACTTGGATAAACGAAGAAGATCTATCAGGCGGTAAGAAGATGAGCTCGTTCGATTACCTCGATGAGAGACTGAACAATATGTCTCCTGACCCAAGCTATATTTTCTGTTGCAAAGCATTGGAACCATCAGGTTATCGCAGATTTGGTGACAGTCTCCTCACACACTTTGCGCCACAAATGTTTTTGGTAACCTCGCTTCTTTTACTGCCGCAATGCTGCTCAAAGTTCGTAATTACTTAAAGTGACAAGCTTTGATTTCAAGCACTTATAAAACTAACGCAATGCGACAATGCTCAACCATAGATTTGAATAGAAATTTTGATATGTATTAAGACTTTTCAAAACTCGTGTACTCAATCATTTCCCATTTTCGAAAATCGCATCTTTTAAGCGGCCCATTACTTTTGGATCACCCTAACATATATACGATTTGCTCTCCTGGAATTTAGTGTTTACGTACTTTTTTGGGATCTAAATATGAATTCAGCAGAGTATTTACTAGCAGTTGAATGATTTCGGTAGTGTATAGCGGCGACTCAATTTCGGTTATCGTTTTTTCAGATTCTGTAAGCGGGAAAAGCGGGAAAAGTTGACAAGGAGCCATAGAAGTCATTACAGTGCTGGCCAAAAGTTGCAGCCACTTTAAAACTTGCTACATCTCACTCTGCTATGCAAAGAATGAATCTGCTTTTGATATTACGTGCAAATTGCAGTGCCTAACAGTGTGTAAGAAAACTTCGGCACACAGAAGGAGGCCCTAGGGAAAACGACGAAAACGACAAATCCGAAGTTTGTCAAAACTTGCAGCCACTTCCTGCTAAACGTCTGAATAGAACTTGTCACCTTCCAGTATCTGAGCTGCACCCTTAAGGCTCTCGCCAGAGTAAACGAAGTCACGCCAGCGCGCGCCGGCGTCGAGTCAGTGCCGAGCTAGCGCCGAGCTGTCGCGGCGCTGATTCATCAATACACGTGTATTTTGTTCGGGGTGGGGCTAGCTGACCTAGTTTTTACCCAGGTAAATGCACCGACTACTGATCGAAATCCCTGTGAAAAGCTTGATAGCGCATTGCCGGCATAGGGTCAGCTAGCCTTGCCCCGAACGAAAGCATGTGTACGATCGAAACAGCGCCGGGACAGCTCGGCGCTGGCTCAGTGCCGGCGCAGCGCTGGCGTGGCTTCGGCACTCTGGCGGGAGCCAAAGCCTCAAATGCAGTGTTCCGACGAAACTTCGCCTTTTGGTTGTTTACCTTTTTTGGAGTCTTCTCGCCATAAGAAATTCATATTTTAGCTTTTCAACGCGCAAATATGGCAAAAAAGCGTTTCCGATTTTCCAGGCCCGCATTCAGTGGAAAATACGCTTAAAGGCAGCGTACACCCAAAATCTAAGTTACCGAATTTCCTAGATCTTTCTATACCATGTATATACTGGGCCCAGAAGAAGACCAACTGCGTTGGTCCGGTCTCCAAATGTTGCTTCTGAGCGGAGAAAACCCCCCTCAATTCTCTTTCACCCCGCCCCTTTTCTTTCACTCTGCCTCCTCCGGACGAATCCACGACAGCGTAAGCTTCAGTTGCCGTTGCAGTTGATGTTGCAATGCTGTTGCATCTGCAACTGCAGTTGCAACAGTGCAGTTGCCTTTTGCGGTGCTCCTCCTTCGGGCGACGAACCACGACAGCATATGCAGCAGTTGCAGTTGCAACTGCAGACTGTCATGCTGTTGCAGCTGGTGGCATGCCGACGGGGACGAGCAGTTCGAAACTCGTCCGCCCCTGAAGAGAGGGTCCCCGGAAATCGGAGTTTTTTGAGACTTTTGGAGGATTTCAATGACATAACTGTAATCAGCGGCACGGAAAGGCCCCAGAATGATAAAAACATCGAAGGTGAAATTTTGGGTGCACGCTGCCTTTAAGTAGGCGGGGCCCAGAACAGGAAAGCGGGGTGCGGAAAACTACTGGCATATTGCTACTAAATGCGGACCTAGGGCTTCGAAAAAGGCCCATTTTCACCATTTTATGCGCTGTAAAGCTCAGACATGGGTTGCTCATGGCGAAAAGGCTCCGAATAGGTGAAAAACTAGGAGGTGAAATTTGTCGGAACGCTGCCATTGAAATTTTCAATGCAAAAGCTTTCATCAAACGAAAAAGCAAACTATGCGGAGCATGTCATGACCGCAAAAATTGAGTAAATTATAAGGTTGTTGAGAATTGGCTGCTCCATGCTCCTAAAATGCTCTACCATTGGTGGCGGTTTGCGAATATGGCAGTAAAAGCGTCACTTGACAACCTTCAAAATTGACCGTTACCTCATTAAGATCCGGAGCAATTTTCAGCTCAAATATTGGGCTCGGCGGTCTAAAGAGCTCTCGAAGTCTTGCTTAAAATTTTGCTTAAAATTTTGTTCCACAGAGACCAGTGCTGGCCTACTTGCAGAACTTTACTGGAAACAAGGAGCCTCTACTGTTAGAGAAGAGACTGCGCAAATTTCGCAACTAATGATTTCCCGTAGTAAATCGATCGTTTTCTAGATGTGAGAACACGAGATTTTCTATGCCAGTAACGAGCGCCATATCTCCAATGAAGCTCTGCGAGCTCCGGACCAGTACTGGATTTTGTAGAAGCAGGGTTTTCATCAGCCTTGAAAACTCTGCGAACCGCTGAGCCCATTTTCAAGCAAAAAATTGCTCCGGATCAAAGTTGACGTCATGGAAATTGCCGTTTTCGTAATTTTTCCTAGAACCTCCTTCTGTGTGACGAGACTGCGAAATTTTTTTACACAGTGTAAAGCAGTGTGATTTGCACATATTAACAAAACTTGGATTCGTTCTTTACGAGGCAGGGTAAAATATAGCTAATTTTTAAAGTGTCTGCAAGCTTTTGGCCAGCACTGTATGTGATGACCTACTTATAAGTTTGTAAGATTATCAAAGTCCAGACCAGATTTTCGACCTGATCAAATGCTTGGTTACAAACTTTACGTAAATCAGCAGTTTAGGCAATCATAGTGCTCATTTCTTGGAGCTTGCTTCGCTCTATCCGATGCATCCCACATATTTTTCTATGTTCACATATAATGTGGCATAAGCTGCGAACATAATTTTTGCGAAAATCTAATGCATGGAGAAACGAAATTAACACTAAAAGAAGGACAAAAACTGCAAAATTTTTACTTGCCATTTCCAAGTATTACGTTGTCCCGAAAGTTTTGTCCGTTTTTTCAACCTATCATAAGAATAGAATAAAGATAGGGAAACGCTCTAAGCACTACCCGCCGCATTTTTCCTCCTCTTTCTAACTGTCAAGCCCTCATGCCGATTACTCTTTTGCTCACTGAGATTAACACCGAAATTTCGAACCCATGGTTTTTACTATGTCCAAGTTTGACAATTTTTCACAATCTTCATTTTCAACTTTTGGAAGACCTTTGATAGCCCTCAAATAGAGTAAGCAAAGGGCAATGCAATGCAATTATTTGGCATATCTAGCTGGCTTTCAATATTTTTAAAGATAATTTTTTCAAAAGTCTTCACTTTTGCGAATTCTAAAATACAGAAACGCCTCGAATACTAACAAATCATCGAATTTTGAAGCTTTCAAAAACCGATTACGATTATTTATTATTTTTACGAAGTAAATGAGCGTTTACCGCTTCGAAATATAAGATTTTGCATTTTACATATACACGCTGGAGTGGGGCCAAATTCAAGAATTATGAAAATTTTATAGCCAAAGACCCCGCAAATTGGAGAGAAAATACACTTACTGGAAAGAGGAGGAAAAGCTGCATCGAATAACACCTTAGTTGTGCGCCGTTTCATGATCTCTGGCTTTTGGATCACCAAAAGTGGAATTTGATAGCATCAAAAAAATAATTCTAAAACATTTTCAAGGCTGGCTATAGATGCCGCAAAATTGCATTATATTGTCCTTTGTTTGCTCTATCTAACTGTTGCCAAAGCTTATCCGAAAGTCAAAAATAAAGATTGTGAAAAATAGACAAACTTGGACATAGTAAAAACCATGGGTTCAAAATTTCGGTGTTAATCTCAGTGACCAAAAGAGTAATCGGCATGTGGGCTTAACAGTTAGAAAGAGAAGGAAAAGGTGCGTCGGATAATGCTTAGAGCGTTTCCCTATCTTCGTTCCGCGCGTTTTTATGATAGGTTGAAAAAACGGACAAAACTTTCGGGACAACCTTCCAAGGATTTTTGGCCCTTTCATCGTTCCCATTTGGGCTTTGACGTTAATGACTGGGAACCCTTTCAACGACTTTGACGCTCACCCATTATAAAAGACTGTGCAGACTTGCCACGAAAGTTAACACTTTGTGATACCATCCGCAGAAAGTTTTCCATGAGTACGATGTGTTAAGACGATTTTTTGGTATTTTTACTTTTAGTTTACCATTGTGTATTTTTCTGGTACGTAGTGTAGTTTATACAAACGAATTTTCTCACTCAAAAATCTTTTTACTGATAAGAATTATCCAGTCTAAAAATACATTGAGCAACTTTACTTCACTTTCCACCACTCAAGCCGTTTGCCAAAATTCATATGACTGTATGGCCCGTAGTAAAGCTCGATCAGTTCAGGTGAACTGAACTTATCCCATTAGTTCAGCTCACGTCAGGTGAACGATGACCGCCCACCCTCCCATGCTATAAGAATGGCGAGTGAACTGATAGTTGACCATCTGTCCACTTGCTACAGTCAACTCTTCCACATCAGTTCATGTTCAAGTGACCTAAACGTGAACTGATGTTAGAGTGATGCAAATAGTGTGTAAAAGAGGAGGCGCAGACAAGACTCCCGTAAGTTGCTCCTGAGTAACTTACGATACACATCAGTCAGGCTAAAAATGCAGACAAAATCGGCGCAAAACTGCACCGCGCCCGAAAAGGAGAGGATTGATGAACAGCTGATTTTGGCGAGGATAACAAAAAAACAAATTCTTCTCTTTTTTGTAAACCTTACTGGTTTTTTTCACTAGCTGTCCAATACAAGAAGTCATTTATTCATTTCATTGAATTCACGCTGCAATCATTTCGTTTTTTCATAAAATTTTCGTAATTGTTTTTATTTTATCCGTGCATTTGCTAGGCGAAATCCTTGATAGCGGTCATCATCGATTGTGTAGTGGCCGCTATCAAAGATTGCCCAGCGATGCACCAAAATGTGTGTCGCTAGTCGAACTCGAACCACGGCCGCGCGCATGTAATTCCAATCGCTTACCTGTTTGACCAAACAACTCAAGTGGTTCCTTATTCAAGAACGCACTTGATTGTAATGTCTCGGAAGCAATGCGCATCCAGATCAATGGCTCGCCGGATGCTAGACTGAGGCGTGATGAGATCAACGCCGGTCCGCGTCGAGAGAAATGCCCTGATGGGGGTTTATTAAGGGCCTATACATGCTTCTGCTGCAGTGCTGAGCCATCTTTACCAATAGCGCTTTCAGCTTTGAGTGATTCAGATCCTGTCCAAATTCCTGTTCCGCCAACAAACGTCAGAGTGAAATTTGAACATTCATCAGCGATAACGGTCAGTTTCAAGTCGCACGTCGGTAAATGGATTTCGCATCAGGAAAATGGATGTGAGGTGAGGCGGAATCTATAGAGGGTGTCTTAAAAAAGTGCCTACTGTTCGACTGTTATAAGTCTGTTTTTATGGAGTCTTTAGAAGAAAAACATTAGTTATCATATTGTAGAGCTGGCTTCAACTTAGGTTCAAAGTGTAGACTGAACGGATATGATGGAAATACTGAAGATAGTTCTAAGCCATCAAAGGTCGCATCTCGTTCCGAAAAAATCCGAACAAGCAAAAACTTTTATACCGGGCTAGTCGAAGTCGCGTTTCAAATACGAAATTTGCGCATCACAATCACGCTTCGTCTTATCTCTATTTATATAAAGGCAAAAAATCTGCTTTGTGTCTTTGTTCCCATTTCCCATAGTCATGAAGGATGAGCGGTGAAGCTCATATCTGCTGGTCATCAATATATGGTAAGGACGGTAGGAAGCGAGTCGGAATCAAATGAAGATTTAATTTTGCTGCATGAGAGATCAAGCACGATGGAGCACGATGGAGTTCTACCCGCTCTGGAGCAGGACTGGCTCCGGAGCGGGTAGAACCCGGAATGCCAGCTCGTTACAGATAAACCGTAACTACTGCTTTTCCAATTAAAAAGCTCAAATTTTGTAAAAGTCGTATAACGAAGTGAGCGTGCGCACTTCCTTGCAACGCAAATTTTCATATTTTTTCGGGACTTTTTTCGAAGTCTTTTCACAACGGCGACGTATTCTGGAAGTTTGTACGTAAGCCTACAGTGACGAAAAGGGTTCAAATAATCACTCCCTACGACAATTTGAGTTTAGCCTTTAGCCCAGCTCTAAGAAATGTTACCTAAAGCTTTTTTAGAGACTTCATGACAGGATTATCACATACAAAGAATAGGCACATATTTTGGCATAGCAGGGGAGCAGTCATGTTTTATTCAGGTTCACCTGTGCAAATCTGCAAATTTGGCAAGCAAATGTTTATCCAAACAACTGTCTATAGACGAAACATCTACAATGTTTGAGCAATTGAAACACAATGGTAATTTGATAAAAACATTTTGTCATTTAACAAAACACATTGCAGCTCGTTACTACCTCACAACGTTTTGCTATTCATTGATGGGACGCAGTGCTCATTCTCCATGGATAGTGATTGAAACGCCAAAACGTCCACGACTCAATTTGCCTAAGAAGCTCGACTTATCGGTAGGTGAACTACTGCTAGACTTTAGCATTTGGCAAGACGCTCAGGATATTGCTAGTTTCCATTCACATTTTCTGCCTTATAGGCTTTGATACGGTAACTACATCAATGCGAAGCGTTAGACTGGCTAAAAATAACTTTTCATATCTCTTGCTTTTTTAGACATATTACAAATAAAAGATAATCCTAGGAGAGAGTAGTTTGACAGAAATTAGACGGTAATAATATTGATATTACCATTTGATTCAACTCGCTGCTTCGGGAAGGCGGGGCTTCGTGACCTAATTAAGGCTAGTAGTGGATTAGAAAGCACTCGAGCGAGAGAAACACAGGTGCGGTTGCGGGCGCGAGCGGCCTTAATTAAATCACAAAGCCCCGCCTTCCCGAAGCCAAGCCATTTGAATCAAAGGTTACCTAGTAGTATTTGGTTTCTGAAGGAAGAAAGATGGCACCAGTTATTAGCTTTGTGAGTAATGCCATTGAGAGTCTATTCATCAAATTAATTTTCTGTGCATTCACAATGTGTAAAAGAAATTTTCAAATTACTAAAGTGTGTTTTTGAAATCAAAAATGCTTGGTCCTTATTGCTTAGAGAAATTTTGAAAACCTTATAATAAAGCTGCTTCATTACAAAAAGCCTTAACTGATTGACATGGCTAAATATCTATAGGGCTTACTTAGAATTACATAAAAATAACTCAAAAGTTCTCCTTTCTTTAAACCTTGGCATAATTGATGAATATTATCCAATTTCTTCTTCGTCACGACAGGTTTTTATAGCAACGATTTATTGTGCTGCCTAACGTTTCGGCGGATACGCCGTCCTCAGAGGCCTGAAAGTGAGTCAGTCATCTTTATCAAACGCATTATGCCATCAAACGCTTCGACCAACTCGTACGTTTGACTCGTCCAACGCAACCGCAGTCCAGCGTCCAAGCTCGATCAACTCACCAAGACTCCCAGAGAAGAGCACGATAGAGGCTCTTTAGGTCGCCTACAGTGTACGGTAGCAATAAACAGTCCAACTGGTTTGGACATGTTTAAATAGTTATAGGCTATCGAAATCACAAAATGATAAGAACGGCTTCAGATCATTCGTTACAGACAACTGTTCATTCTTACTATTCATTTTCGGGTTACGAGCAAGAATGAACGCCGCTTCTAACACCTTTCGAGCAGAGATGTTATCCTCGATTGTTAATATGCTGCAACTTATTTCAAAGTCTTCGCCGCCGTGATCTTCCTTTCTATGTTTCCCCAATGGGCCCACAAGGCTCTGTCTTCTTTTGCTGGCCAGATGTTCATTTACACGTACAAAAAGCGGTCGACCGGTCTCGCCGATGTAAATGGCCCGGCATTTTCGACATTCCAACTGGTAAACTACACCACTTTTTGAGCAATCTTCTGGCCTTCCGTTTGTGCACACAACACAGTTTTGCGATGTGCAAGCTCTATCGTATAATCGATTTCGAACCAGTTGTTTCTTGATGTTGTCTTGTGGTAGATTTACTAGAACAACATCATTATCCAACTGTGCTTGCGCTATACATCGTTTGATTGCGTTGGTCACTCTGTCGGATATGAACGGCAAGCATAAAGGAACACGTGTTCGACTTTGGTTGCTTGTGTTCATGTGTGTTCGTTTGAAGGCTTTGGATTGCAGCGAGTATCCATTGTTGGAAGCTATGACGCGTGCCATCTCTAGAGACTCGAGTCTCTCGCTTTCTCCGCTGCACACACTGCTGGCTGTCTTAAACATGTTACGGATAACCGCACGTTTTACGGCAGTTGGGTGAGCGGAAGTGGCATGTAAGATGATGTTCTTGCTGCTCTCTTTCCGATACCATTTAATGTGTACAGCGCTGTTTGCCATCATCACCTGTGTGTTAAGGTAGGGTAACCAGTCATCGTGTGGTCTCTCTCTGGTCAAGCTAATGTACTGCGATTGTTCATTGAGGATCTTAAAGCACTCATCCATCTCGGACTGAGTCGAAGTCACAATGAAACAATCGTCTATATAGCGGCAGTGCATTAGGGGACATCGCGTCAATACAGGCTCTTCTATCTTACTCATAAAGCAGATAGCAAGAACTGGTGCTAGTCTTTGCCCCATCGCCAGCCCTCTTACTTGTGCGTAAAATTTGCCCGACCATTTAAAGATGTTACATCCAAGGCATTCCTTGATAAGAGTGATGATGCGCACTTTACTGAGTCCGTACGTTTCCATACTCGCAATATGCGTATCGAGGAGCTCAGAAAGTGCTTGCAGGGCGTCATTATTAGACACGTTTGTGTATAATGACTCCACATCAAACGACTCCATTACACAGTTTTGATCGAAATGCGTATTGTGTAATTGCTCAAGAAAGCGATTGGTGTTCGGTAAATGGGCGGGTATCTTAGTTAAGAGTTGGCTGACAATCTTGTTTAGAAACCATGCAATTCTATCTGTTGGCCCTCCAACACAACTGATGATTGGTCTAATCTTGCAAGTTGCGGCTGACACATTTTGTGGGTCGGTCGAGAGCTTGTGCGTTTTCACGAGGCCATAGAAGACAGGACAGTTTGGGTTTTCAAGTTTGAGCCGACTGAGAAACTTTTCTTCTATACCGGCTTGCTTGCCAATCACCATCCAGATGTGGTTCAGTCGCTTGCATTGAGAAAGAAATTCTTTCTCCGTCGTAACACGATAGACTGAATCATCAGATAAGTGATTTTCGGTAATATCGCGGTCCAGTGTCTGAGGCATGACGACGAATTCACCTCCCTTATCGCTGACTGAAAGCCGGAGGGTGCCGTTCGCTGTCAGTTCACGTAGCTCCTTGAAACCCTGCCTTTGTGCTTGAGTCAAATTAGAGTGTTTGAAACTGCGGCTTCTATTTAGAATGCTCAAAATGCTCGCCGACAGTATCCGAAATTTAACATCAGCTTCATGGCAGGGACCGGGTTCTTTGTAGAACGACGAAGGGAAAGGTATTGAAGGTAGCGGTCTTCTACAAAGAACAGAAGCTTGTATGTTGTTATTATCAAGCCTGACTTTGGTCCGTAACTGATCTCTAAAACGCTGCAAGGAGCCTACTACTTTGCGAAAGACTTTGAAATCCACATTTTGCGCAGGCGCAAAGGATGGTCCCAAGCTTAGGAGGTCTATAGCGTTAGAAGAGATGTTAACGTTGCCTAAAATAGTGACCTTGGCCGTTTTATCAAAGTGAGATTGATCTATAATGACTGACCGTTGTTGAGTCTCTGGATCGTCTGGTTCAAGCTTGGATAGACTAGACTTACGCTCACCCAGAAGTACGTTTGTGACTTCTTGTTTCATTGTGACTTCGACTCAGTCCGAGATGGATGAGTGCTTTAAGATCCTCAATGAACAATCGTAGTACATTAGCTTGACTAGAGAGAGACCACACGATGACTGGTTACTCTACCTTAACACACAGGTGATGATGGCAAACAGCGCTGTACACATTAAATGGTATCGGAAGGAGAGCAGCAAGAACATCATCTTACATGCCACTTCCGCTCACCCAACTGCCGTAAAACGTGCGGTTATCCGTAACATGTTTAAGACAGCCAGCAGTTTGTGCAACGGAGAAAGCGAGAGACTCGAGTCTCTAGAGATGGCACGCGTCATAGCTTCCAACAATGGATACTCGCTGCAATCCAAAGCCTCCAAACGAACACACATGAACACAAGCAACCAAAGTCGAACACGTGTTCCTTTATGCTTGCCGTTCATATCCGACAGAGTGACCAACGCAATCAAACGATGTATAGCGCAAGCACAGTTGGATAATGATGTTGTTCTAGTAAATCTACCACAAGACAACATCAAGAAACAACTGGTTCGAAATCGATTATACGATAGAGCTTGCACATCGCAAAACTGTGTTGTGTGCACAAACGGAAGGCCAGAAGATTGCTCAAAAAGTGGTGTAGTTTACCAGTTGGAATGTCGAAAATGCCGGGCCATTTACATCGGCGAGACCGGTCGACCGCTTTTTGTACGTGTAAATGAACATCTGGCCAGCAAAAGAAGACAGAGCCTTGTGGGCCCATTGGGGAAACATAGAAAGGAAGATCACGGCGGCGAAGACTTTGAAATAAGTTGCAGCATATTAACAATCGAGGATAACATCTCTGCTCGAAAGGTGTTAGAAGCGGCGTTCATTCTTGCTCGTAACCCGAAAATGAATAGTAAGAATGAACAGTTGTCTGTAACGAATGATCTGAAGCCGTTCTTATCATTTTGTGATTTCGATAGCCTATAACTATTTAAACATGTCCAAACCAGTTGGACTGTTTATTGCTACCGTACACTGTAGGCGACCTAAAGAGCCTCTATCGTGCTCTTCTCTGGGAGTCTTGGTGAGTTGATCGAGCTTGGACGCTGGACTGCGGTTGCGTTGGACGAGTCAAACGTACGAGTTGGTCGAAGCGTTTGATGGCATAATGCGTTTGATAAAGATGACTGACTCACTTTCAGGCCTCTGAGGACGGCGTATCCGCCGAAACGTTAGGCAGCACAATAAATCGTTGCTATAAAAACCTGTCGTGGCGAAGAAGAAATTGGATAATATACATAAAAATATTTTTTGTCAGTCTGATAAGATGAACTTCTTGACATTTATGTTCACAAGTCTAACTATACACTTCTAATGTAAGTGATATAGATGACAATAAACGATGTTTTATGTTTCAGGGTAGAGGGATTGATGTGTATGTACATGTGGAAGAAGGGAGCTCATGGCGTTTGACCTGGAACTTTGCATTTGAAAATCAAACTACATTTCCACGATCCTATTTGAAAAGGATAGATCTACAAGTATTTAATGAGGTTACTCATCAATAATTTAAGTTGTCACTGTAGTGAAACTATTGGACTTTATCGCTTAAAAGTTCAAATCTGAGTTCACTAATTAACACATTGACGACCAAAGCCTTTCGCGGACCAGCCAACATTTTTTAAATAAAATCACGCACAATTCCGTCTACAGTACACCTACAGTAGCGTTGGAATGCTGGCAAAAACAGTAGAGGTTGTATCCAAATCCAGCATAAAAGAAAACTCACAAAGTTGGCTCGACACAAATTAGTAGCCATTCCAATGGGAGTAATGGTGGTCAAGCCTTGGCACACCATGTTTGTCAAGCGGTCGTCAATGTGTTAATGCACTTCCAATTGAAGTCTCTACACAAATCAGAAAGCCTACTTTTTAGCCTTACGACATCGAGGATCCATTTATGGTAGCGCGAAAAGTTAGCAAGGATGGTATTGTGATTGGGGTCAGTTGTTTTATTTTATTCAGCGTGAAACAACTTTGAATAAGATCACTCTTTCATATACATAAGAATGCGTGTATGTTGATACAGGATGCTCTTTTAAACAGATGACTTTGTTTTCCCACCTTTTTACCAAAGTTCGCACGCACCCACTCGTGCCGAATGCTGTTTCCGTTCCAAAATCATGGAGTGACTAAAATATTTGCTACCAAAAAATTTTTGCGTTTTTTTATTGATTTTTCTGTCAGTTATTCTGCAATGCAACTCACAACGCTCCAAGGTTGACTATCGGTAACCCTTGGCATTGTTTTCATGATTTCATATTCCTGTACTGTAGCCAAAAGTAGTAATACTATTAGGTTGTTACATAAGTCTTGTTACACTTCAACTTCTTAGGCGATAAGTCATGCACCTCATATTCTTGACAGGGCTTCAGGGTACCATTCGATAGAGCAAAGTAAGCTCTACAAGATGGTATGCAAAAGTTCGCGCCAACTTCGACTCACTATAAGTTTGCATCCAAAATCTGAGTCGTACTGAAGGCTCCAAAAACGCGAAAAAATTATATATTCGCTCAAAAAAGTTCTACAAATCTCTAGCTTGCTCATAAAAATTGCACACTATATCAGACACTCACATGTACCGTTGCTGTATTTCTTCCTCATCTAGAAATCGAGAAAATAAAAATTTTCTTGTTTTTTCAAAAACAAAGCTATGCTGTTTCTATTTATGTACTGTATACTACAAGCCCTTATAAGTATAACCGTAAATTTTCAGCTTTCCAGAAGCCCTAGTTTTCGCAAAATACCGAATTTAGCTTTTTTCACTCGTGTGTTCAATGCTAAAATAGGTAATTTTCGAAAACTAGGGCTTCTGGAAAGCTGAAAATTTACGGTTATACTTACAAGGACTTGTAGTATACAGCTACATAAATAGAAACAGCATAGCTTCGTTTTTGTAAAAACAAGGAAATTTTGGTTTTCTCGATTTCTATATGAGGAAAAAATACAGCAACGGTACAAGTGAGTGTCTGATATAGTGTGCAATTTTTATGAGCAAGCTGGAGATTTGTAGAACTTTTGTGAGCGAAGATATGAATTTTTCGCGTTTTTGGAGCCTTCAGTACGACTCACATTTTGGGTGCAAACTTATAGTGGATCGAAGTTGGTGCGAACTTTTGCATACCATTTTGTAAAGCTTGCTTTGCTCTATCAAAAGGTACCCTGAGGCCCTGTGAAGAATATGAGGCGCATGACTTATCGCCGTAAGAAGTAAAGTGTAACAAGACTTATGTAACAACCTAATATTTTTTCTCTGAAGCCAAAAAAATGGGAAAAACATTTTATTCGTACATTAAACCTTGTGCAGCTAAAGTTATGCAAATAATATGTACATTCAGGGGAATGCTTGTCATAATCTGTTACCTCAATTGTACGCTTTTGACCTTTTGCACATTTTTCCATACATTAAGAATAGCCTAACAAGCCTTTTCGATGCTTTGATCAAAAAAATATTTTCCAACGTATCGCAACGGCTCCAACTATTAAAAAGTCGAGTTTTTATTTGCAAGTTTGCTGGTACGGCCAGTCCTTTCATTGGACGACTAACGCATAATTGCTCATCGGTGTAACCCCGTCCTGAAACCTAATGCCTAAGGGCGAGGAGGGTTGGTCATTAGCTCAAAAAAAAGTGCTACAGAACAGTCTATGATATTCTAGGAAAATTTCGGAGAAGTATGCGCCATTTTACGTTCACATCAGTTACAGGCTACATTGTTGCGGTATAATAACGATATTCTTTCATAACCTCTGCCATCACTGACGGAAAAACTGCTAAGCTGAGTAGATTTTGGGTGCACTGCGATTATTTCGATAACCAATTTAAACGTACTTGCAGTGCTTATTGCAAAAACGAGCTCTTTGGCTAATCAGCTGCCGAATAGTACCTGTGATACTAATATGAAATCAAAAATCAAAAAATTGAAAATGTTATTGAACAAGATTTTGGTACTGTAAATTGTTCTCAGCTAAATAAAACAAGCCATTTCTATATAATTATGTATACAAATCTCGGCAATTTCATATGTTTAGTGTTTGAAAATTGAAGATTGAAAATTCTTAGTTTGAGTAAAGAATTTGCTAGCTAGATGCTCATGCTTATTAAACTTTAGCTGGCTTACCCGGCTCTGCCCGCCCTGTCAAAACATTGGATAAAGGTCCCATCCCCATCCCTGTACAACCTTTCTCTGTGCGCATTTCTATATGTCAGTCGCTACGCTGTGTTAGTAATTAGCACTTACCCCTCCGTGCCAATTCCCAGCCCTGTAGCCCGAACTTTGCAAAAAATCGATAAAATCAATAGAAGTAATCGATAAATTGGAAAATAATACTGTATTCATTAGCGTGCTCGATTACCCTCTGTGCCAACTCTTCCCAGCCCCGTAGCTTAAGCTTTGCAAAAAATCAATAGAAAACGATAAAATTAGTGTGTCGTTGACGATGAGTAGTCTATGACCCCCCCCCCCCCGAAGTGTATGCATGCATAGTTTGGTCTGGATCGGTTCAGAAATGGAATTTTCTATTGGAAGCTTACTTACAGACATACATACATACATACCAGACATACAAACAGACATTCAGCTTCATTCATAAGAGAATGAGTTTCAGACATCTCCAGCGTACACGCTCGATACTGATTGTTACATCTATAACCTGGATGTGGAATTTGCAGACGGGACCAGTCTGATTTACACCACTGACGAAGACTGCTACGATAGTAAGTCACCTTTGTTTCAACTGGCTGGCGGCTGGAATGCCGGGCTTTGTGACCTAATTAGGGCCGCTCGCCCCGCTAAGCAGTCTGTTTCTCTCTCGCGCGCGTGCTCTCATTACCTGGCCTAAATTAGGTCACGAAGCCCCGCCTTCCAGCCTCCAAGCCGGAAAACAAAGGGTAATCGGTCCAATCACATGACCCAAGATATCTAGCGCCCATTCTTATAGAAAATCTGGGACTTGAACATATTGCATGCTAATTGGAAGGCCCAACTAAGCCACATCGCTCAAACAATAGCTCGTATGCTTTATTAGTGGCCGATTTAACTAAATTTCGCCCAGTAACGCGCTCAGAAAGCTAATTTATTCGCTCGGAAAGAGTAAGATACTGAGCGAGAGTTTTTCAAACTTGAATATCCGAAACGGCCGCAGATAAAACATTCAAACTGTCCCTTGGACGGCCCTCTTGTGGATTTCTAGTCAGTCTCCACATAAATCTCGTGCAGTCATTTGCTTAAAAACTGCTAAAATATCGCCACTAAAAAGGGAGGAGAACCTGTACAGAACATGTATCAAGGAGAATTATGGTAGAACATAATGTCACCGTCCTAAAGTTCCAAAACAGCAATCTCTTATCTAATGAGGGAAGGGGACATATGCTGAACTTACCTAATTCTCTAATATGTGCTGCTTGGTGTCTGTTCTGCCAACTATATATGACAATCTTGTTTGAAGCATCGTAAAATCTAAATTATCTCCGTAACTGACCGATGTCAGACAATAGCATGCTCATGTAAAAATCAACGATATTCTTGTTTCTTCTTCGAAAAAAAGCAATTGTAAAAAGTATATGGTTTCCGTTTTGTCAGTATGCAATTGATTTTGTATTTCAGAAACTGCGCCTGTATATGTCCTTGTCTTCACTGTAGTAGTCATTCTATGGGTGCAAGTGATGGTTATTCTGATTGTGTTCATTCAAAAAACCTTTGTCAAACTTGGTCAGTAGCACAGGTATGATTTGACATCTGATCGTTCAGATATTAAGCAATTATTCTTTTCAGCTCAGATTTTTTGTTAACGAAAGAAGACAAGAACAGATCATTTTTTTATTATTTATTTTTACTTCCATAAATGTTTTTGTTTCTTGCTTTACCACTTATCTATAACAATTTTGGACCTTAATTATTAACACTTTTTGCTTGATCAACACCTACTTGAACACAAACATTTCTTTTATGATGCATGTGTGTGTTTCGAACAATAGTGGAACTGCGAAATCATTTTTTTTGCGTAATCAATTTGAGGCTCAAGCCGGTCCAGAATTGTTATGAATTTCAAAATTTCGATAGCTGTATGTGCTCCATAATCCCCCATCATCCTTCTTCCATGATCTTTACGCTCAAGGCTATTCCCATTTGCTGTTAAACCAAGATCATTAGAATAGTGTACCTGTAGGTGGGTTGATACGTACATGACATCCCATCAAGAACTTTTCGCCATTTTTTTGCTTTCTATTTTTGTCCTGCACCAAGAAAGCACCTACTGTTTACGCGCTATGGAAAAAGAACCTCACACTTTTACCGCAGATACCATCAATTTCTCTTTTAATTTCCTCATCATTAGTTGATGTAAAAACAACACGTGATTTTTGTAAAGCGTACACACATAGCAGATGACTACCATCGGAAATGGAGCTTGAGTTCCAGGAGTATAATACGAGATCTCAGAGCGTCAAGGGCAAGGAAACACAAGTAATCAAACATTCTAAATCGTTTTTTCTAGCAGCGACCAGAGGTGAGGTAGGGGAATCGAGTACCATCAACCGCCAAAAGTGAAGGTGGTAGCCGGAACCATGCTGCCCAATTACCGGGTGTCCCAAAAGTAAGTACACACTTTTCAATCGTCAATATCTCTCTTTTCATTGTGTCTTTTTCCGCCATTTGAGTACTTTCCTGTAGAGGAGGCTTCAACGTAGATATGAAGTGTCGAGCGAATTACCAACCTCTCTTCAGTACTGTAGGATTACTGTAGGAACTTGGACAAGGATTTTAGGCCATTGAAAGCTGTATTCTTCCTCGGAACAAAACCGAACAAGCCAAGATCTCTTATGCTATGGTAATGGAAGCCGCTGATTTCGAATATGAAATTTCCACTTTACTGTGATGCTTCTTAAGTTATCCCAGGTAAACCGTAACAACCGAATTCCCAATATTTGTCAGAAATGTGATTACACGGTCAAAAAGGCTGAAAACACTCGTGAAAAGTTGTGTAGTGGAATCAGCGTGCGCGAAAACCCTATTACACCGATTTTCAAATTTTTTGAAAAAATTTTGCCAAATGGCATATTTCACAATCGTTCCACATGGTGGAAGCTCTTACCGTAATCCTACAGTAACGAAGAGCGATTGGTGATTCGGTCGATACTGTGAATCTAAGTTGAAGCCTCCTCTACAGAATGGTACTTGTATGGCAGAAAAGGACCCATTGGGAAGAGAGATATTTACGATTGAAAAGTGTGTACTTACTTTTCGAACACCCTGTATATCGATTGGAGGGGTGGGAGCATGCGGGAGGGGGGAGCGTCTGTCGCTATGTCTCGAATGCACTCAATGCACCAGGATGTCTGCCTTCCTAGATGTTGACTGGAACGCCCTTTCGTGCTCAGCTCCATAAATAAACAGTAATATTGGTTAGCATTATTGTCAACGAGTGACAGCTCGCTCCAGTTTAACTAGCGCATTAGGGGATGGGTCGACTTTAGTATCAGTTTATTTTAGTTATCAGTTGCAACTTAATTGTACAAAAGCATTGCTTTACAAAGTTGTAAGTGGTGCAGCAGAAATTCCGGATGCGATTTCCCTCAAAAAAGTTCTCAATTTTGATACACCAACGGCCGTATTTTTATTATTTGTTCAACATTTCATAGTGTGAGCAAAAAGTGCGATTCTGGCCGCATGGTAACCAAAGGGAGTGTGACAGGCTGGAAAGGCCTTTAAGAAGGAAGGAAAATGGTTGAAATTGAAATATGGCGGTCAAAGTTTCGTGGATGGAAGTTAAATCGTAAGCACTTCCATAAAGAGTCCGAGGAAAGGAGGTGGGGTTGGATGATTGTACTTTCTGACTGTGAGATCAAGCATAGAATCCACCAACAGTGAGAAGTCCGAATTTTATTCGAAAACTTGGTAAAGGATGTTTTGAGCAGTAGGTGCGATTTGAGAGAGGGAAGAAGAGGGAAATTCGATTTCTTATTATGATGAACTACCGCAGATGGAGCTTTTTGTAGAATGGAAAAGCCTGCACCTTAGCCAGCAAATTCGGTGTGGTACTCTAGAAAAAGCTGAAACTTGGCGAAGAGCGTAGGCATATTTCCGATAAGCAACTTTGAGGTTACATATTGCGATGGCAGCGTCAGAGAAGCAAAACCGAAAGTTAGGACAGAAATTGTAGAGATATTCAATAGAATTTCTATTTGGAAAAAGTTTAGAATATAATATTTTTTTATTAAAAAAAACTTCATTGGAAACTGTTTAATTATTTCATTCGTAATCTATTCGTGCTCTATTATCCTGATGTAGGAAACTAATGAGGGAAAAGGGTTGGGGGGGGGGGGGTGGCGGACAAAGATCACGCTGTTTTGTACCATTAGGGTGCGGGAGCTGGAGAGGGGAGGATGGAGGAGAGACGAAGGTAGGGATGGGAAGAGAAGGGAACGAAAAGTGCTATTCCTTAAGTAGGCAACTAATGAGGGAAAAGGGTTGGGGGCAGGGAAAATTTCACGCTGTTCTGTACCAGTAGGGTGCGGGGAGCTGGAGAGGAGGGGGGGGGGGGACAAAGGTAGGGGTGAGAAGAGAGGGGAGAGAAAGGTACTATGACACAGACAGAAAAAGCCTGCAGTGGATTCAAACATTTAGTAGCACACTCAATCCGACTCAAGAAGATTGTAGTGGTGCTAAGGTAGCATGTGGCATAGAGCTTTTTAAGCCCAAATCAGCTAAAGATATTCAATTTTGCTGAAGACCTAGAGACTAGGAAGTAACTTACTACGATTCGATGCTCTCTACACGTGCTTGAAAGGTTTTATGCTATACTTTCGGCTACGAAAATTTGAAGACAAAACATCACAAGTTCTAACTTTTGAACACTTCTTACTCCACACACACACAGTCAGTTCAAAGCGTCGCGAATCGTATTTACATAAATCTCTGCCTATATGATTCTTTAACCAGTACAGGTTAAAGAATCATATAGACAGAGATTTATGTAAATACAATCGCAGAGTTGGCAGTGCCGCTGGAGCTCAGTAAATGCCCTTTCAGGGCTTTGTTTGCTCACACTGCACCCGAGTCCATCAACGCTTTGGTCGCGTATCTTCGCCTCAGCACACATTTTTGAAGAACAGGGCTTCCTCATGACTTTTCATAACTCCAAGGACTCTAACTCAAGTTCTCCTCAAGACCGACAACTATAACCCAAAGACCCTCGTCGTCCACTAATGTAATAAATACAACCGCAAAATATAGTAAACAAAGGTGTTTGTTAATTGATGCTGCGCGAATGTGAAACTCATAGACTTGCGAGTGGTTGATTTTGTTGCAACAATATTTGAAAAAAAGTCCAAGAAGTATTTGCCGAGACAGGCTTACGGATGAAATTACAACTTATATAAATAAGACAGCAGCTGCGACTTCATAGGTTGTAAAGGTTATATGTTCCTCTACCCGGTAGTACAATAAAAGTAGGTCGATCCAAGAGTTCATTGCCGAGAACCAAAATTTGAAAAATAAATCGCCTTATTAGAGTACTTAATTTCAGCTGGTATTTTAACTTTTATAAATCTTGAGTATGAAGGTGTTTAGTTTTGAGACTCCATATTTTTGTACATAAGGCTTGCTCTATCAAAAAGCATATCAGGCATGAATTCAAGAACACATCGACGATGACACGGTTTTGGTAAACTAGTGGCCATATTCATCAACGAACCCTGAGGCTTAAACTTACATTGGAGAGTAAGTTCAACCTCGAAAGCTATTAACCCTTGTTCACGAAGCACAGGGTAGGCTTAACCTTGAGGGTCAAATCCACCCTTGGAGGTATAACTTACCCCAGAAAGCGATTAAGCCGTATTCATAAACATGATTTATCAGGGTAAATTTAACATTAGCATAAAACAAGGTTAACTCTACCGGCTTATTGCAACCATAAAGTGATCTCTCGATGCACTACTTAGCCCTAACGATTACCGGCTTATTGCAACCATAAAGTGATCTCTCGATGCACTACGCCCTAACGATACTATTTGACAACAAACACATAATTCTAATTATTATTCTCAATTTTGTTAAACTTTTTTTCTCTCTAGTTCAATCATATTACAAAACAAGGGTAAATTTATTATATTTTATTATTTTGTTGGTCGACTTCTAGTTGAGCTACGATGGTATGATCATGTATCAAATCATTTACCAAACGAGTATATTGACGGACTAAAATTACAATGGCGGAGCTCCATATTACGAAAATTGTCCGAGTTGTTGAGCTTGATGTTCCGCATATTAGAGCGCTTAGTCGGACAGGTATTTTATTCACCCTACCCTCGAGGATGAGATGTACCCTCAAGAGTAAGATTTAAGATTTACTCCCATGGTTCGTTGATCGATACGGGTTAATTTTTTTCCGGGGTAGACCCTACCCTACTCTCAAGGGTGCGTTCATAAATACAGCCAATAAACCCTGAGGTTTAAAGCTACCTTTGAGGGTACGGTTTACGTCCAGGGTTAGCTGATGAATACGGTCAAAACGGGCTTCAAAATTTAACGCTCACAAATTCTTCAGCTCTTGATAAATCCGATTGCGATTTCATCAGTCGAATTTTCCTATATAAGAGTTTTCAGATGATATAGAATGTTTGCGGGGGGGGGGGGGGGGGGAGGGGGAGGGAGATCTCAAGGCGTAAAAGTGGAAAGGGGAGAGATTGTTATCACAAATTCTGGCGGCCTCCACTTAAGCCATCGAGGGGCTCGACCGAAGTATCCCACCCCCCCCCCCCCCCAAAAGAAAATTGATGTGTACCCCGATAGTGTCAACGTTACTCTGGAAAACCATGCTGCTGCAACATCACACGCCTTCAAACTTATAATTTGCAGTAGTTGAAGTGTCCATTATTATTGAGCGACCTAACGTGGCATCCTGGTTTTTGATGGTAACTACTTCAAACCTAAGAAGTTGCACTGGCTGTCATCGCTTCAACGTGGATCGTTGTTCTATAGCCAATTTTCGGCACAAGGGAGGCTAATGAACGCCTATAAAATGAATTTACATTTGCCATTTGAATTTTCGAGATTTTCATCTTCATCGCGCCAGCTGCTTGGGTAAATCTTTTGGAGCGCGCTTCCTTCCTCAAGAAAACCGGCGTCGTTGCGACTCCTGACTTCAGTGAGGAGGAGAGAAGAGCTTCAAATCAAAATGTTACCAATGTTTTAGTAGGTTAGTAAGCCGAGCGAGGTTAGTACTACATTAGTTGGTGGCGGCCTGACGTTTCGACTGTATCGTCTTCTTCAAAGGCCTCCTCCGCCGCTGCCGCGTAGATGTTGAATGCGGCCGTCCTCGAGTGCCACTAGTACTAATCATTACTAGTACCAAAATGTTACCGGTTAGTGAACCCCTCTGATCTGGAAAAGAGTTGAGCATGCTTTTTATTTTGAGATTTTCATAAACTTTGTACCTTAGTACCTGCACACACCAAATTTCGTGCCATATCGTCACCTGTGCTTCATAAGCAAGTCACTTTTCCATTTTTAATGGTAGGTCACAAAAAAACTTGTTATAGCCTTCAGTCACATAAATTTTCCACAATATCAGACCATCGCCGAGGGCAGGCGGGCAGCGGAAAAATAGATGGCTGATTTCTCGCACCCGCTCGCGGATTTTTTGGAAAGCAATCGGGACTTTTCGGAAGACCGCTTGCTGAGTCAGCGGGTGTTTGAGAGACCGCCTGTTAAATTTTTTCCGCTCTTATCTTTTGCAGATATATTGCTGAATCTCTGAGGAATCGAGAACTCAGCGAGCGGTTTTCCCAAAAGTCCTGATTGCTTCCCGAAAAATCCGCGAGCGGGGTGCGAGATATCAGCCATCTATTTTTCCGGTGCCCGCCTGCCCCCAGCGATTGTCTGAGGTACTCTTTATCACGGTTTTCCTAGCCCTTGTCCGCTTGTACTCCCAATTTGTAGTCATATCATTACATGAGCACTGAAAAGAGACAACCAATTGTCTCAATGGAAAGAAATTTAGATTGAAGGTGACGCGCGAGCAAGACCGTGTTTTTCCATGTCAGTCATATAGCAAGTTGTCGAAATTTATGTACACGTGAACGTGCATTTACGATATCCCCTTTGCTTTCTTCAACAATTTTCAGCTTTACATTGGCCACCTCGTGTCGGGCCCTACTTAGAGTCCATAGAATTATCGAAAATCATCAAGAAGTTGTTCACCAAAACCGTTGAAAATGCTGAGGAGTATATGCGTTTAGAGCGGTGATAGCCTTCGGGAGCCAACAGGGTGACGGCAAGTTGTTAAGGGTATATTGCGTAAAAATTGCTTTCATCAATCTGTTTGGCATTTTCTCTTTCTATACTCTTTAACGCATTTATATCTTTACCAGTGCGTCACCTCTGCTTCGCAGAGGCTCGCACTGGCTCTACTATCTATGTGCCTTACTCATTCTCGTAAAATCGTGGCATTGGAACTCACCGCGCTATGCCGACTACCACGAATAGAATGTAAACAACCACTCATTTAGAAAGTTTTTTCACGTGAGATCGGTGATTTCGCGTGGATGAAACTTTTCGCAGGAAGACAAACGCAAATTTGAATAGGTTTTCGGATTTGTCATGGCTTGATAGTCGCCATAGAGGTAATAGTAACCATGAGCTATATCTCTGTGCGAAATTCTTCTCAAACGCTTAGCTAGAACCTTGGCAAATTGGCCATTTACACAATCAATTCTTTCTGGCGCCGTTTTCGTTATGTAGTAAACTTTCGACCACTTTTCCGACTAAGCTCTATCGCTTGCACCTTTGCTTACCAAACTCATCCACGACTCTGCAAAAAGTAATGATACGGACCGAATTTTGCGGTACAGAAGCCAGGTGGACCCGTTTGGCGCGCAATTTTTGAGGGATCCACTAAACGGATCTGCTCGTGCTTTTGCATGTTGGCCTTACATGCGAATAGCATGCACTGTGCAAAATTTGAGCCCAGGAGGTTGACTGGAACACGCTCTACGAATTTCGTAACAGACACACTCACACACACACACAGACACACAAAGTCACGTAAACATCCTTAGCCCGTTATTATAAGTTATGATTGTAGCGAGGGTCCATAGTCCAGGGTCTTTATCAATCAGTGAGATAGCTTATGAAGCACAAAGGGTAATCAGTTTGTATCAGCTCTTATGGGATCCAGTCATTTATCCCTCCCCACCCTATAACATTTCCTCTTGCCTTCGAAAACTTTGGCATCGTATTTCGTAAAGACAAAATTTGAGCGCAAAACCTAATTTGCTTTTATACCAGATCATCAAAAGTCTAATCCGGAAGCGTATCTCAAGAACGGCACTAAGCTGTGGTGCTTACTATTGCAAGAATATTCTAACAAGCCTTTAGACAAATTTTTGTAACTTGCCCCGAAGCCAAGCTAACAAACCCAGTCCAACTACACGAAACTAACTATGTTTATTATCCATGTGATAACAATCGTAAGCAACAACTCCGTTGTCAACACATATTTAGTACAGAAGGATGTTACACTAGCCTCAACCACATTCAGATCATCTACAGGATTTCATTAAAATTCAGAAATCAAAAAAATCGGGGACACGTCTGAGTTTGCACGTCAATCAATAAATTAGCTCAAACAGAAACATGACATATCTGTCTATCTCAGCGATCAATGCGCTCTTAGAGATGTAAGGTACAAGAGTGGTGGCGTAGTGCTTAACCATTAATTGTAAACAGTTGAACAGGTCTACATATCTAGAAGTGACAATGGTTGAGGGGTAGTGGTTTCGGCCATGTTTGTGTTGAGTGTTGATGGGCTAGCTGTAGAGATTAAAACATCTTCCGAAAAGTCGATTAGGTTTCCCTGGTCGGCCTCCAAAGGGCTGGGTACGGGTGACTGAAACAGAGAGTTATACAAAAGAATGCCTTTTTCATTTGACTCACATTAGAACCCTTTAGCATATTGACAAGATCTGTGTAGCTTATCACATCTTCTCCAGGTTTATCGTCATCATCCTCATCTGCTTCCACAAGTGCAAAATCAACCAAACGACTCACGATACGTACGCGTGGGTGATTTTTGACGACACGAACAGCCTGGTATAGCACTTATGATACATAAAAAGCAAAACAACAAAAATTCTTCTTGCCTTTCTCCAACCAAAAATTTGTGACAATTTTATTGCACATTTTTCTTCATTCGTTAATTCCACCTCAGCTGGCCACTAGAATTCTCATCTGGTTTCATCATGGATTTTTTGGTTAACTCACATCTGAAGTAGCAGAGTATCCAACGTATTCCGTTGAGTATACCGGGTTTAGTGGGTCTAGTGTTTGCTCATCAGAAGTGGTCTTTGATTTGATTATCTAAAAATTGCGTTATCATTTACTGGCCGGTAGTTCTGCATAATCAAGCACCGTTGTCTACACACCTTTTCTTCTGCAGTTCTAGTCTTTTCAGTGTCCGTAGCCTTTTCTGTAGAGGTAGCAGAACTTTTGAAGTACCCATTGTAACGGTTAGACGACGAACTTGATCCCGTTGAATTTTCTGAGCTGCCAAATGAACCGCTTTTGTGAGGGCGAAGGCGATAAATAGAATTTGGGTTTCCCAAGTAGTTCGGCAATGTCGCTGAGTCGGCAAATCGAGGCTCTTCCTAAAATTGTAAGCAAAGGTTAGAACTAATAGAAAAAGCACTCTCAGTTGAGCTGGCCAGTTGTAAATAGATGTATCGCTCAAGTCAGTAGCAAACCCCTTATCGCAGTTATCTTCATCTGCAAAGTGTCCGTCAAATTTTGAATTTCTTTGTGGGATTAAAGTTACCGTTTTCGATGATCAAATGGCTTTGATTACGTGTGTCTGCCCATTGCCCAGAGATGGTACTTCAATTTTTTTAGGAAAAGCTTTTGCGTTTGGTTAATAATTACAAGCTAACTTCTTTTCAAAAAAGCGTTGAATAATTTCGAACTAGATTAGAGATCAACATCTGTCAGTGGGCTTGTAATATACACGTATATCTTTCTTTTTGCACATGGCTGCTGGTAGCTCTTACGTCAAAATGGCTTACTTCGAAGGGATCTTTCGGTGGTCGCAAATACTCAGGCAGAAATTCGTCCAAGCGCTTGTCGCTGTCACCGGATCCGAGAATTCGGGATTCGTGCTGACGGTATGTGCTCGGTGCGTGACTACAATAAAGTTTTATGGAAGCGAATTTATCTTGCTTGTGCTCTTCAGGTCTACTGCTGTACTGCACGATAGCGTGAATCAAAGAGAGGTTAAGGCAGAGGCCAGACTTATCCGCTTAGAAGCTTCAAAAAGATTTATTGGCCAAGATCTGACCAATAATGAAGTGGTTGATCGACTATGCGAGAAAGAATGGCGCCTGTTCAAGGTCAAAACTTACTCTGTCTCATAACGTCTGTGCACTTCTCTAACAAAACGGCGTCCTCCAAGAGCGGTGGGTCGCGGCGACCGCCTGTACTTACTAGAATTTGAGTAGTTTACGAAGATATCCCAATTTACGTCATACCATTCTGTTCCACGATTGAGGCCCGAAACAGCATCACTAGGTCTGCAAATACGAAATCAAATAATGCGTTGATTGGGAAGAGTTTCATGCGCTATGGCTTACTCATAACTATATCTTCTCGTTAGGCCTCTTGCATAGCTGTAACCTTTTCCATCAATGGGATTTGTTTCGGGAGGATAAACCCTTCTATGAGCATGAGTTAGACATCTTGGCGGTAGCTTTACAGGTGGAAGAGGCATTGAGGGTTTGAATGTCATCACTGCATGCAAAAGAGTGCGCCACGCCACTGAAAGCCATAAACAAGTCGTAATTCAATGAACTCACACTTTTACCTTGGTCGGGCACGAGCGCACATAGTCTGGTAAGCCAATGCCGCTGATCTCTCAATACCATTTGTTGCGCCGAACATCGCGGCCAATCAGGATCAGATAGGGGACACTCCAGAGTAGACTGTAATATTGGAAGTTGGTGCAAATCATGATGGACCCATTCTCAGCGCACCCGAAGTGATGGACCACATCTCCCAAGGGGTCCGTCTACAGGAAAGATGATGTCGTTGTGGTTGAAGGATGGCATGAGAAGTCTGAATGGCGTTTATACGAGTCTCTATTAGCTAGTTTCATAAGTATATGGTCATTTGGCTTAGCTAGGTGCTGCTTTTGAAGAGGGCTATACCAAAAGATTTGTGGAACTGTTTCAATCTACACAGAAAAAGTGTCCCAGTTTACTGTCAAGCATGGTTTTTGAAGACGTGTCTGCTTAATTTTTCAGTCTCTTAGCTCAACAAACGCTTTTTCCTTGCGCTTTGAAAATGGTGACATATGAGAGCTTATTTCTGCTGTATCTAAACAAGGCAGAAATTCAGCCGCAGTGATGATTGCCACTGTTGCGATAATCACTCCGCTAATGAAAATTTTCTGTAAATGCTCCATCGTATGAAGCAAATGCGGGGTCACGTTACGAGTAAAGCAGACGATAGATTGGTACATGCTTGAGCTGGTTGCAACGAATGAACTAGCTGAGAATGCTGAATAAAACTTTGACCTTGTTCCCATCCCGCCTGACGAAGAACGTAGATGATGCAAAAACATGTATGAAACTTGCGTTGAGGCTGCATACAGCGTGATGGAATGTCATCACCTGCGTATTTAAAGGGCCGGGCACAGATTACGCGATTTCATCAGCTCGCGATTCTCCCAACAAAACAGTTGTTACGATTCCATTGCATGCCGCTCATCTTGCATTTCGGTTGTGATAGTTTGTCGTGAACAGTCGAGTGGTAAAATTATTCCAACCGGAATGCGAGATGATCGGCATGCAATGATCGTGTATCAACTGCCTTGTTTGTAAAATCGCGAACTGATGAAATTGGGGTGTATACCCGGTTTGTAAATAGGTGTCCAAACACAGCATCATGCTGCCTCTGATGCTGGAAATGCAGAAGCTGCCATGAAACTTTGGCACACCTTTTCTCTACGGTCCTGTCCAATGTTGGCCTTTCTTCTATGATATTATGCATCTGCGATCGTGCAACGATACAACCTCCGGTGTCTGCCGCGCGATTAGCCAAAATTCGATTTACTTCCGTGTACTTTTCGCTGCCATATCCTGGAAAAAGCTTAAGAATTTACAACCATACCTGAAGCTCATGAACGCACCAGGAGTGAATTCGATAAGATTCATTTTAAAAAGAGCCATCAGCTCAGGCCAGGAAGATGACTTGTCCGGATATGTTTTGAAGCAGTATGGTAGCATTGCTACAGTCTGAACATCCAACTTAGATCAGCTCTTTTGTGCTCATTCAAACCTGATGGCCTTTGGATATGAAGTACCAAAGAGCTATCGTTACTCCGCGCACGTTCAGACGCTTGTCTTTGTCACACTGCGTATAGCTGAAATTTCATAGCGTTTCAAGACTTTTCTAACAAAAGGACTCTAAAGGTGTGAACCCTTCAGCGAATCCTTGTAAAGTACTGCTCCAAATACTGACGCGTAGCCGACTTCAACAGCGTTGATGTAGATGGGCCTCAGGAGAGTGTGGTTTCTTCGCTCGGTGAGTTGTCCGGTAGAGTCATCTCCACGTGCCGACAGCGGCTCGCCTTCGTCCCACTCGTAGCTTAGCATCTAGAAGAAATGAACTTTGCTCTTGTTGAGTTGCTTATATATAAGTGGCCTAGATGTAAACAATAAAGATATGTTCGTTAAAAACATTTGGAAATGATTAGACAGAAAGACTGGTGAATTCAAGAAATTACAGTCACAGTACGCTAGCCTCAACCTTTCGCATGCACCCATTGACTTAGGCCACGAGTATACTTCACGCGGTAATCGCGACTCGATTTGGCAACACTCCAACAAGCGCATTCTAAATGTACAGGATAGGGCATTTTATCAGTCTACAAATGTTTTACACGTTATGCACTTGTAGCCTGCCAGTGTTGGATTTGAAGACACCTGGCAAACTGCTAGGTCGCGTGACAAATTGCCAAATTGCGTGTGGCCATACTTAACGCGATTTGGTCATACTCCAGGGTTGGTAGTAATCTATACTACCTAGCGGCGTGATGTAGCGGCAACTTGGCACACATCGCGGAAGATTGGCAACTTTGATGCTAGCACGCGGACTGACCACAGGTAGACCGGCGCACATAACTTCGCATCGCCTGCGCTTAAAATTGCATGCATCGACTTCGAGCACCGGCGCGTATCAATCGACCACGCGTGCACGCCTTGCGCTTGTAAAACATGGTAGGGAACATGCAAGAAAGTGCTGCGTGCGATGAAAGCCGTGTGTTGTACACTCAGACTTCGCGGAAGCAGCTGATCGACCTGCACCAGGAACACACAAATATGGTTAAGAACGAGTTTTCGGACGATATTCAAGGTTATGACAAGACCAAGACCAAGCGATAATTTATTTATTTTATTTATTTTATCACGTAGGAAGACCCTACGAAAAAAAGCAACAAAACTAACAACACACAAAAAAGCGTCAACACAACGTCATAAAACAACTAACGAGATTCATTTTTTTTTTTGTAAATAGCTCCTTAACAATCTTTTGAACGAAGCCAGTTTAGGTACAAATACTCGTTCGCGTATAAGTACGTCTACATCAGGCAAAACTCTACATATAAAGAAATGCCTTGGTACATTGAGCTTAGATCTTGGAATAATCAATTTCTTGTACCGCCCTTAGTTTTAGATATCTTTGTCACAAAAAACGTATCACGATTCAATCCGCAGTCTTCATAAAATATCTTATGAGCCATGATAAGGTCAAATTTTTTCTTTCTGCAGGCCAAGGTCATTAACCCAAGATTTCTATTCCGGGTTCTGCTATTTGGAATCTGATCATAGACGAACCCAACAGTTCTAATCAATAGCTTACGTGTGAAACTATTTTGAACTTTCTCCAAACTATCGATACTTTTGCGCTTTAAGGGGTTGTATATTACCGTACCATATTCAAGCGTAGGCCTTATGTAACTTTTATAAGCATTTAAGAGAACTACCGGATCTCTCGTTGAAAGCGCCCTAAACAGATTGTACACCGCCGCTGTACCCTTATCAGCTATCTTTTTACAGTGGTCATCAAAACAAAGATTATTCTTGATCAGGAACCCTAAATTTCTGTTTTCCTCAACAGACTCAAGTAAAGTTTCCCCTAGTGAGTAAAGATGCTTACGATTACTTGCCCCAATGTGCATTACTCTTCTTTTTTCTTTCGAAATTGGAAGGCCCCAATCCTGCGACCACCGATAAATCTCATCAAGAGCACTCTGTAAACGATCGCGATCGGCAACATCCATAACGACACCATATAACTTGAAATCATGCGCAAAAGCAGAACAAGATACACCTTTCGACAATGGTATACGTGGGAGTTCATGGGTATAAATGTTAAAAAGTATGGGAGATAATACCCCTCCTTGAGGTACACCACATCGCATCATTCTAGGTTCAGAGAAAACTTTGCCGACACGGACCACAAAAGATCTACAATCTAGAAACGCACTTATCCAAACAACTATTCGTGGATGCACACCGACTGCTTTCAGTCGGATTGGCGTAACAATAATACCCTCCATCTAGAAGGGGCTTCACTCCGCATTATTCTCAAAGGACCACAAATAATAATGAGCTATGGCCTTGATAAACTGAAGTGGCAAAAAATCTTATGTAAGTGAGGACGATTTCGGCCATCTGACTAAAAGCTGATATATTTCTTCACTTTGAAACCAAACTCCATCGCTCATTTGCTGAAATTCGGAAGAATTTTCTATTGTTTTCGAAGTATCTTCCTCCACAAAAGTTTTTTCGAACATGCTTGCAAAGCAGTCCGCTTTTTCTCTATCCCCATAAATGGGTTCACCGTCTTCAGTAAGCAAAACTCCAACTTCTCTTTTATTTTTAAGCCACAAGTTAAGCATCCTGAAAAAAGCTCTGTTGCCCGAGTTAATCACCTTCATTTCAAGCGCCGAATAATATTTTTTAAGCCTTTTGTTGAACTTCTCATTAAGTTTTCTTCAGTTTTCGAAATGCCTCCCAACAGATACTATCACTGCCACTCATTGCCCTTCCCCATGCTTGCTTTCTTCTTTGATCAAGGTTTCTGAGGTAATCAGATATCTCAGATAACTTCGAAGAGCGACAAGCGAGAGCAAGATATAGATCGATGGAGTACCCCAAGGAATAGTTCATACATCTCATCAACTGTGTTAACATCGTTAAAAGAAGCATACCAATCCACAGTGGACAGGTAGTGCGTGACAAGATCAAGACCAAGCTATAATAGAAAATTTTCTTACCTACAAAACGGTTAAACTAATCAAAACCTAAATAATGACAAATTTGACCAGTTCAACAAGGAGAAAAATTTGGAGTACGTGATTGAATGACTCCTCAAAACCTTGTGATAATACCGCATTAAGCGAATTCACAGACGCCGTCAGCAAGGTGCTAGCACCTCGAAGTGGTGGGGCACGTCGAGATGCCGGCAAATTTCTTTCCTCTAACCTGCCGGCAGCTGCGACCTTGCAAATTTCGACGAGCTGCCAACAGGTTGCCGGCAAGAGCTCGCGAAGTTGCCAGCAGCTCCTCCTGCGCTTCTCCGTGTTTTTCTATAGGTGAATTCTGATTTAAATTTCGATGTTTGGTTTTAACAGAGCTTTGGTTTTAACAGAGAAATGATTGCTGCCAAAGATATCTTTTTCTCGCTTATCCTACAAAGAATCTGAGGTAGTGCTCGCAGCTGATACAAGATCCTGCATTCTCTTTGCTGAGATTTTTTTTCAAACAACTTCAGAGGAGTCTTACAAACCTGACACGTGAACAAAGAGGTGCGCGAATTGTTGACCACGTGCTCTTTCCGTTTACTAGTAAGCGACACAGACGGCGAGCTTGTAGTGATACCTCAAAGTCTAAGAAAGACTGCACATTTGCATCTATCTGATACGATGATTTACTAGTGTGCCACTCAAAGAGATTTTCAAGAGCAGTACAAAAGGCATGAAGTTTGGATTAGTGTTAGTAAAGCAACAGGTCTTGAGACAGTTTTATCAGGAAACTAAAAGTGAACAATCGCAATCCAAACCTTTTTGTATTCTATCACTGATAAAAACTCATAAATTAGCTACTCAAGAGACTAGCTTCATGTCACCGGGAATGCACAAAGTCCCCATTATAAGCTGCGCAAGTAGTCTTACCGACTTATCGTGGGATCTGAACAAAATCGTATGCCAGTTGCTCACAAAGGTCCCACCCGTTAGATGGACGCACTTAACAATAATCTGTGAAGCAGAGGTAATCCAAATTTTCTTCGAGTCATTTCTGCTCAGCGCTTGTAGGAATCTTATTTTGATTGAAAAAATAGTTTTGCTACAATATTTCGCTCACTTTAAAATATCTTGCTAGATCTACAACACGCATTTAAATCATCCGTCTATAGTAATTGTCTTTACTATGGCAGCGAATAATCTCCAGAATCCCAATGAGGGCTGACACTGGGCTGTCGATCGTCAGTCCAGAGTCTTATTGAGGTTTTCTTTTTACATACTGACAACAACATTTCATTGTCCCTAGCAATTTTCCTTTTTTTCTGGTAATTGCAGTTTCCGCGATTTTTGAGCACAGCGAATAGACTCGCGCTTAGCCTGAGCTTGATGTTCCTAGCATACTTCTTGTAGAAGAGATGTTGTTTTGGAGCATTTTTTGCTCGGACAGAAAAAATGCTAGAGCAATTTCTTCGGATCTGTTGAGAGTCTCTGGGACTCGCTGCTCTTCTTCATAGCAGCATCCGTAATATAATTAAAAGTCAAAGCATCTGCTACCATTTGATTTGTGTTGTTTGTTGGATGTGTTTTGGCGTTTTTCTTACTTCTAAATAAGTGCACCCTCATAAATCCTACTATAAAACTATGAAACATCTTTTACTATAGAATATACGTATCTTATGCATCTTGATTATTATTTTGTGTGTCTACGCATTGAGCCATCCAAAATATATGAGCAGTCCTGCAGCAAAATATATGAGCAATTCGCTATTCTGAAATATACTATACCTTGCATATCTTTGTCGCGATTGTAGATGTCGTATATTGATATTTATACATCACTAAAAAAATAAATATATCAAGATTTCCAAAAGTAATGCCGTTTTTATTTCAAAAACGCCATATTTCCTGGAACCCAGGTTATTGAAAGGTCTTGGGTGCATTCGACAAGGTATTTCATTCACTTTCTAATGGTTATAATCTCACTACATAGTATTCAATATTCTGAAAAATCACCATAATCTGCGACCCATGTTTTTTGAGATGGTCAAGTTTCACAATTTGTTTCAATCTTTTAATAACCCCTTGAAGGAGTTCAAGTAGTGGATGAGGACAAACCTATTAGAAACAGTGCACCTTTCGCCTATACCTCACCATGAGTTTTATGAGATTTTTATCGAAAGGGCCTGGATTTTGGCAGGCCGTCAGATAAAAACGCAAACACCATGAAACTTTCGGAATTCGGCACTTCTATAAAAGAATTATCATTTGACACTATTTTTACAAAACAAGGGAGTGTTTATGAATTCCAAATATCAATTTTCGATCTTTTCTGGTACAGCCTGGGGCGCGCTGAAAAAATGAATCATAATGATTTTTCCCTAAGACTTCACGAATCGGAAGCAAAACCGTTAGAAAGAGAAGAAAATGCTGCATCGAACAGCACCTATGCTGCTCGGCCTTTGACTCTATGAGGAATAAGTTGACCGAATATGGAAATTGGTACCATCAGTTAAAAAACATGCTATGGAAAAAAGAAAAAAAGTTGTGCCCATTTTTGTAGTGTTTGTTTTATCCATCCATCACTTGGACTACTTCCGAGGGTTACTATTAGGGTTAGGGTTACTAATAGAAAAATTTAAAAAGTTGTGGAATTTGACCATCTCAAAAGCATGGGTCGCAGATTTTGGTAAATTTTCAAAAGCTCATTGAATACTATGCAATGACATTATGAACATTAGAAAGGGGACTAAATTCTACATCGAATGCAAAATCTTCTAGAAATTTTGGCTTCGCGAAATTTGGCGTTTGTTTGAAAAAAGCGACATTACTTTCGGAACGACCTACTATTAAATTCCTAGGTCGATTTATAAGAAAAAAATGAAAATCTTTCATTTAAAACTTCTCTCTATACTCATATACTCTTGTTCTGATCATGGATGTCGTATATAAGCATATATTTCATAGATTAAATTTTGAATAAAATCAAATGTAAAACAAATTTCAAAAATTGAAAGTTTATATAAAAACGGACGATTAGAACAAGTTTCGTATAGCAGGATCTCGTTTCAGAATTCGCTAGTACTCACATTCTCTGTAGCTTCAATTATCTCCCCCTTACCCACCATCCACTGCGCTCGCTTGTTTGCACCAATGTGGCATGTCGTCATGGCAACGATTTACTGCGCAACATTACGCTCGCTGAAATTCTATCGCTTTTTTCAGGTGTTAGCTTATTCGATTCTGTTGACACCCTTTCCAAACTGGAGTAATGGTTATGTGACGCATATACTCTTATATGCTATCTCTGCACTAACTCTAGCAGAATTCTTTCTCAAAATTTTCTGCAAGGAAAGCAGATATAGCATTTACCCAAGTTAATTGCCTTTAATTAACCAAAAATCATGCTTCTTCATATGAATTGCCTTGTTTTTCCCTGCAGTTCTAACTAAATTTATTTTTCTCATTATCCTTCTTAGGTCTGTTCTTCTTACCCCAATGCTGTTGAACACCTTACCTATTTACACAGGTAAACAAGATGACGATTCAAGTATGGGTTTGGCTACGCGGCGATTTTCTCTTGGAATCATTTCTCCCATTAGAATTTACTCTCATCAAAACACCAAGTGCTCGAGAAGTTCCGGAAGAAACCGAATCGCCAGGTCGTCGTACAGCTATCGAAGGTGCACATGCGCTGTTGGACGTGTGCCAAGCGAGGAATTGGGATCGTCTCGGGTTAGCCTTGGAGCGCCGAATTTTTTAATTAGAATTTTATTAAAGCGCTCATTTCAGGGTAGCGCAGTGGACTGAAATTGTCGATGAAATTGGCTTGGACAATGCCCTAAGCGAAGCAGTTTTTCGGAATGCATCTGGGGACGAAGTAAGTGACGTAGGCTTTGGTAAAATTTAGTGATTACTCCACTGATTAGTGATCATTTTGTTATGTTCAAGCTCAACCCTGTCCAGAGATTTTCTAGGTTGCATAAAGAAGCATACATGTTTAGCAAAATATTAAGGTGTTGCAAGAATAATGTCGTTTTTCTATACCTGCATTCCCAACAACTTTTTTCTCGAAAAATTTCTTTCTCGATATAGATTCTGCATAATACTGGAAAGCTTTCCTCATGTATTTTCTAAAAATCGTGAAACCAAGCTTCTATCTTATCTGTGAAAATTTTAACATCTTCTCGCACAGCTGCACTCAAAATCAAATCGTTGCTTTAACTTCCTTGGGCACATTTCAGGAGCAAATGAACGAATTCTTTCAAAAACATAGCTTCTGTATGGGGGAAATTGCTTCCTATTGCATGTTTGAATAAGTTTTTTGAATACATCTGGACTAAGAAATCGACGCCTCAAAATAGACACTCGATGCATGGCACTCTATGGATTAAAAATTTTCCCTAATCAAGGCAATCGCAGAAGCTTGGCTCATTTCCATATGCTTAAGGTCAGGACATCTTGCATACAATTTTTGAAGAAGCACTAAGCTATTCAAAGCATGAAGAATTCCAAATTTTCATAGTTGGGGCCCTCTGGCTTACCGCAAACAGGCTTAAAAAAATGAAAATTTTTGGATTCCTATCTTTTCTTTTCGCAGATCCCCTTCGTTGAAGTTTTTTTTCCTAATAGAGTATACTACTGGCTTGCGTCTACAAAATAAGCCAGTAAGCAGCCTTAGGAACAAAATTTGAACGGAGTTGTAATCTTTCAAAGAGAGGTTTTCAAAAAGAAACTTTTGATTTTTGAAGGCATGGCTTTCTTCCCGTTTGCGATTCGGTATATGCAGGTATCCATTAGGTTACCAAAAGTTTACTGCTTCTGATGGTCTTGATCGTATTCAAAAATACAAAGGCTGAACAGAGTTATAGCCTTTCAGTGTGAAAATTTGCAAAACGGACATTATTTTTGCAACGACCATATATTTGCTGCATTTTGCAGAACGTTTTGCATTTTACGCTTCAACTACAAATTAGGTTCAAGAAATCAAGAATACGGTAGCGTTTTCCATTTGTTCCTTTTCAAATATTTTACCTTATTCCGAGATTCAAATGAGAAAATTGCTACTTTAGAGAATTTAGACATATAAGAGAATTTCAGAGTTTCGCTACCTTACATGTACTCGCCTTGCATATGCTCCTTGTTGGGCTGGAATATTTTTCGTATGAAACAGATGAGTAAGTTTACTTTTGTATATTACCTATATTACCTATTCAACATTACCTTGTTTAGGGCGATCAACACCAGAGGTGATATTGTTACGGCGATGGTCCACGAACAAATGGGTAAGTCGTATCAATTTTGGAAGGAGGTCGCTAAAAGAATACAAATTTTTTTATTCCAGAAGATTTTGTTTTTGTGCTGTATCGGTGCGCTACCGGTCTGCCTCGCGCTAGCCTTACAAAGGAGAAATTGCGAGTGTTCGGTCCCCACATGAAAAAGGTATGAAAACTCATTATTTGTGTCAGTGTTACTTTCACGACTAATTCTGAACATTCTAGTTCCTCTCTATGGTCGACATTTTGTTCGAAGGTATGACGGAGAATGATGAAGACGGTGACAGTCATGATGACATCATCAAAGTGTCCACAATTGCGGGAAAATTATGGCTCAAAAATGGCGAGGTAATTGTTTCTTGGGAATTTTCATCACAATACAGTAGCAGCAAAAAACTTTATCATTCTCTCTTTGCTTATTTTTACTGCCATTAAGTTGTGTAAGTTACACGAGAATGAAAACAGCAAACGACTTTCTTAACTCTTTATTCAACTACACTAATCTTATTTTTAAAGGCAGAATGAACACCTAGCTTTGTTTCAGACCTCGGGCATACTTCACGCGATTTCAGTCGCGGCGCGATTTCGCAATATTCCAATTGTTTGTAATTCATCGTCGAACGCATTCTAAAGTAAGAAAGTAGGGCGTTATATCAGCCTACGAGAGCTATACTGGCTATACATTTGTAATCTATCAGTGTTTGATTTGAAAAAACCTGGCAAACCAGATCGCGTGGCGACTGAAATTGCGTGAAGTATGCCCGAGGCCTCATGGATAATGATTGAGAGGCTTCAAATAAGTCATCAGGGCTATAGGATTCAATCTTAGGGGAAAAATTCATCTTGAATTTCCGCCCAGTAACATCCTCGAAGAGGCGTAGTCGGTCCGGTCGGGAAGAGTACGGTACTGGACGAGACTCTACAAACTTTAGCCCACGAGAAAATGTATATGCTGCCGCTTGGACATTGACATACCTAGAACCTTCCTTTAATTCTGCATCTGAAAAAACAAACGCTAAAATTACCGGGCAATGCCAAACAATTTTTGAAAAAAATGGGGCGCAACATCAAACTCTGTTAATCGTTTTTTGCTTTCTTCAGATTTCTATTCGCAAATTTATTAGCAACATGCGGCAGTGCCTTGTTCAAGATCCTTTTCAAATAGATGACATTTCTGTGAATACGGTATGTTTGCCACGTCACAATTTTTCCTGAAAGACCATTCTTACAAAGAAAGTTCTCGTTTCAGCCTTCGTGCTCTCCGCGCAAAGTAACCTCATTGGCTGGCGCTCGGCGAAAGGTCACTGTTTCTGGCTGGGAAAGGTTTCAGCTATTGTCTAAGGTTGGTGACTGATTGGCGCAATATTTTTCCTAAATATGCTAAAGTTGCAGCCTGTCTATAAAGATGTCCATTTACGCATACTTTCCAACAAAACACAATCGTCGATGTTCATTGTGCCTTGGAGATGCCGCTCGATAATTGTTGATAATGTAAAATTTTGCCCAGCTATGGTACTTGGGCCTACCCATGGCTCTGTCATACTTCGAGAGGTAAGAGGACCTCTTGCTAATTCCCTCTTGATTTTTTCTTGCTTTCAGGTACACAACACTGCCGTAAGCGTTGCGTGCAAGCAGCTTTACCTCTGGAATTGTTCCAGTGTTACCGTATTCCTTCACTCATTTCATCCTCCAATTGTAAGGTTGTGCAGCGATATTCGATTCGCTCCTTATAATGTTTCTTATGAGGTTTGCTCCAGTGGAAACTGTAGATGAGAAAAGTATGGCATTTTTAGGGTATTGAAGAGGAGATGATGGCTGCAGGTCTCAGATGCTATCAGTATAAAACGCCAAAGCATGCAGTTGTGGTAGGTTTTGGTTAATCTATAACGAAAATCAACGTCACTCGTTCAAAATATTTCCGAGTTTGCTTTGGTAAATATGCAAGCAAGACAGCAGCAGACAAGAAATTCAAAAATTAAAAACGAAAACAGTTTCTATTCTTGAAGGCAGCGTCCGAGCAAAATTTCGAATGGAATTTTCCTCGCTTACCTGGGTTTATCCTCCACGCTGATTCTTAAAATGCAACTTGGAAGGCACGAAAACGCCGAAAACGGCTTTTTCAGAAGTTCTTGATTTGAATTTTGTCGCCTGCCGCCAAGGTTAAAACGCAGAGTCTTTGTGGGACCTTACATTCTGACTGTGTGCGCTATGCGCACTCTGGCCAACGAAGTAACACGGCCCGATCGCCGGGGCGTTCCGGTCGCCACTTCTGAAGCGGATTTCTGCTTTAGAAGCAAATTGGTGCATTGCCAGTTGGCCAAGAGCCTTACCAGGACGGGCCCCCCTGTACTCTACATTTTCGTATCTGCCCGGTCGTTGCCTTTGAGTATTCCAGGGGTAACCAGCGCTTCTTTCGACTGTATCGCATGAACTAGATAATTACGAGACACACACACTCCAAAAAGGAAAGTTTTCTTAAGATTCTGATTTCTTGACGTCTTTTCGCTTTTTTACTCAGACAATCGCAAATGGCTTCCGGGGCAAACTTAAGTTCTAAAACTTCCGGGGCGGACGCTCCTATTGGCCGTGTGGGTGGGGCCAGCCCTACCTGGCCTCGCCCTACCTGGCAACTCCATAGGATTTTACCTCCGGAAGTTTTTAGAACTTCAGTTTGCCCCGGAAGTCATTTGCGATTGTGTGAGTGGATTTGGTGGAAGTTGCAATAGAACGTTGACTGTCTGGCTCAGTCTTGCATTATATTTTTGGGACACTTTACGCAGGTTCTTCAAGGCATCGCTCAAAGGATTTATGAGGCTATAGTCCAAAATTAGCCCCATGGTTACCCTGCCGTAGCGATAGCATCAGTTAGCGTACCCTCTGATACAATGTCTTGGCGGCTGGAAGGCCGAGCTTCGTGACCTAGTTAAGGCTAGATAATGATTCGAAAGCACGCGGGCGAAAGAGACGTAGACGACGTCGCGGGCGCGAGCGGCCTTAATTAGGTCACAAAGCCCCACCTTCCAGCCGCCAAGCCAGTTGAATCAAAGGTTGAATACACCTTACTACACTGTTGGTGTGTGCATACTAATTTTCAGTCACTCCCAAAATCTAGAAAAGGCAGGTTAACATTCGAGGTAAGGCTAGAAGAGAGGGAGGGGGAGGGAGAGGTGAGTAGAAATCCCAAAGTTCAAAAAATAATTTTCAAATCAGGAATGTACGTCAAAGCGTGGTTACCATCTTTTTAAGCATTTTCGTGAATTACAGGTCAATTTAGTCAATGATGGAACAAAACTCATCATTTGGTTTCTTCCCTTATGATCTCTGTTTTCTGTATTGCTGCAAAAAATACTGACAAACAACATGTCTAGTGCCATTTTACTTCAGCTAGATGACTCTGAAACATCCATACTCCCCGCCACAGAATTCTATATACAACCAGTTCCTATCGTCAATAACGAATGCGACATTAAGGTGAGGTTTGAGCCCTAATAATTTTGTGTTTTACTATGCAATTTCAGCTCCTTCTAAAAAAGCTCTGCCCTACATACCGGAAGGAATGGGAAAATGCATTGCAACTACTGCGGTCTGATAACGGCGATGCTCCCGACTTGCCCATCAAAAAAACGGATCTTTTCTACCTCAAAGGAAAAATTTCGCCTGAGCTGTGATATGTTATGATAGTGTAATAAAGTGCCTTTTACAATTATTGCTATAAGCTAATACTTTTGTGTGCTGCTAACTTGTTGCCTTTCTTGCTTCTGCAATAAATGGTAACCTCAAATAGTTTTTTTCGCACCTAAACTTTTGTTCTAACCTTTGTAGCACTGGAGATAAACGTTTAGCCCAATCATCGAACAACATAGGCATTTGGCATCTTTTCTTACTGTGCCTGCGAGTTCCGCCGACAGCCGGGTAGCCTATACCATGTCTCATGCTAAAAAGACTTAAAAGACCCGCGAGTTCTGCGGGTAAACAACTTTACGTTGAAGACAATTGATGAATAGCCGATTAGAGCGGAAACTAGGATCGGTAGTAATCTGATTGAAATTCCGAGTTCAAAGCTCACGTTCACTCTGAGCTCCTTTTGAAACTCAGGAATGGTAGTAATTTTGTGGAAACCATCACTAAGTTTGCATCACATGAGGTGAGCAGTAGCTTCACGTCATTTTCTCAATGAGACCGCAGAAAACCAATGTTTGGCAACAGAGACGGTCGATTTTCACTTAAATCAAAAGGCTACTGCATGACGAAGGCGAAGAAGCAGTATTAGTTGAGCGGGCGCGAACGCGGCGCGCGCGCATCTTCACCATTGTTAATCCTGCGTTTCATGCGCTCTGCGACTACAAAGCCGCGTTCGCGCCCAAAGATATTGTGCCATCGTCATGCAGCAGCGTATAAATTTAGCAAGGCGATGTCATTCAAGGGGTTCGAAACTTCAATTCTTATGACCGACTTCCCTGCACCTGAGCAAATCTGCACTTGCGTTGTCAACCTTGCACTTTCCCATAGATTTATCTGAGTGTAAACAAAAAACTTTCTCATAGTAACTTTCAATTGATCTTCCCCACTCCTCTTACCCTGTGAAACTGTCACATCCTTATTTTAATAGAAAAGTGATCGGAGTATTTTTCCATTTTGAACGTAATATCTATATCTAATATATAAAGAAGCACAAGCGCAATTCAAAATGTGCTAATAGCGGGAAACCGCGTGGCGGTCCCAGCGCGCGCGTGAACATCTAATGTTAGCGCCATCATCATTCATCGTGTCGTGGCCTAAAATGTTTCCTTTTTTCGATCTTTTTTTCGAAAAATCGGTTGTTTCTCTTTCTCTTTCATTTCTCTCTTTCAGGATCTCTTCCAAGATGTCTAGTGAGCACATTGACGGTCATGAAATCAAGGGAGTGAATAGTTGGATAGCGTCGAAAAAAGGAGTGAACAGGGAGTGAACAGTTGGATGAGAAGATGGCTGACGAGTTAGACGCAGCCTCATTGATACATATAAGAAAGATTTTAGAGGCCAATGGATTTAGCTTGCGTGACTGTGGTCTCTCCACCTTGCAGGTAGAGAACGAGATTATAGAGGGAAGTGTTGACATAGACGAGCTTGATATGGATGAGGTGGCATTTTCAGAAGCAGGTAAAGAATTGAGCATGGAACAGCAGCGCATACTGGATACACTGATGAGGGAGGCGCTGCAGAAGAAGAGTGCGAAAAAACGTTTCTTTGTATATGGGAAGGCAGGTGTGGCAAGACATTTTTATTCCAAAAGTTTATCGAAAATCTTCGTGCTCGCAAAAGAAATGTGATCGCAGTGGCTTGAACTGGTATAGCAGCAACGTTACTGCAGGATGGACGTACTGCTCATAGTGCTTTTCGCCTGCCGGTTTCGGGGCTGTTTGCTGAAAGTACTGCAAACGTCGATGCATCGTCATTATTAGCGCAGCGATTCCGTAGTACTGATGTAATTGTATGGGACGAGATCTCTATGCAGACAAAATTTGCAGTTGAGTGTGCCGAGAAGATGTTGAGTTGTTTTGCATTTCCAAGACACAGCTTTCGGTGGTATAATGATGGTTTTCGGAGGATATTGGTTACGCAGTTCTTACCGGTTGTTGAAAATGGAAGTAAACCGGAAATCTTGAACCATACGCTGAAGTACAGTGGACTTTGGCAATTGATGGATGTACTGACATTAGAAACGAATATGCGTGTTTTACCAGGAAACGAAGAGTTTGCTGGATGGTTAAGAAGAGTTGGTGAAAGGCACAATCTTCTCGAGCGTAGCCTTGCGAATCCCAAAATCAATGGTGATTCTCAAGGAGAAGGAGTTAATTGACTGGCTGTATACACCGGAACTCATTGAAGATGTGCAGCAACTGTCAAAAGTTGCACTGTTGAGTATTCGTAACGATGACGTGCTGAGTAAAAACCACATGATAGTGGAAAAGCTGAGAGGTGAGTACATAGACGCTTACGGTGTAGATTAATCTGTGCAAGGACGGTATTGACGGTTTACTTTATGACGATGAAGAAGATATTCATCGCGAAACACCTTCGGGTATGCCACTCTACCTGTTAAAATTGAAAAAAGGATGCATCTTGATGCTGTTGCGTAATATAGACATCACGTCACAAATGTGTAATGGAACACGTCTCCAGCTTTTGGATGTAGAGCATAATATAATAAAAGGAACATTCCAATCCTGCTGCGGTGCAAGAACCTTACCTCTAATAAGACGTGCGTGGTCTACGTATGCAAAATCCGTATGAGGATAAAATGTCAGGAATGGCTTTCAAAAGATTTCAGTTCCCAGTTCGCCTTGCATTCTGTATGACCGTTAATAAAAGTCAAGGTCAGACTTTTGACAGAGTTGGTGTGGTTTTACGTACTCCTGCATTTGCTCATGGTACTATTTATGTGGGGTTATCAAGGGTGAAATCCGGAGATAACATTAAAATTACAACTTCGGGAAAATGTGAGACTTTGAATAATGGAGATTTTGATTCGTAATGTGCTGTACACTGAGATTCTATGAGTGAGGCTGGCTATCAATGGAGGATCAGCAAAAGTAAAGCACGAGCTGCGAAGTTTGTCTTGAAAACGTGCTTGCAGCAGCAGCGTTTGTTCAGCACAAACTTTGCAATCGCAAAAACGCGAGAGACTTACCGATTCTTATCGATTACTTAGTTTGAAGTGGTTATTACTTAAAAAGGAAGGAAAATATTGAGAACACATTGAAAACACTTACCTAAAAGGTTGTTTCCTCCAAGAATCCAGGATGAGAACGCCAAAGGTGGACTGCGTGTGCAACGACACACATGATCGTACGAAATGAAGCGACTGTAAATGAAATGTGAAATAATAATGTATGAATGAAATCTGTGATTGATAATATCGATAAGCACATTTTATAACTTTGCAAACGATTGTTCGTAACTATTCCCAATTAGAACGTTTCTGTGTTCAAATCAGTCAGCTGTTGAGCAACCGTTTTCAGGTGCAAAAAGAGCGCATAGCGATGAAGCAATGACTGAAGTTAAAATAAAAATTCAAGTCGAGATCCATCAAGTCAAATTAGTTTTTTGTAGTTAGTATGTCATTTATCGGTTATCTGTATAGTGCTTTGCATAAGTATAAGACATTTCAGGAAGTCCGAGATTTTTGGAACCATAGAAGAGATGAAGCATCCTTACTACTGTAATCTACACCTGAGATTCAATGGCATTATGTTTTTTTCAATGGAATAGGAGTACAACACCTATTTTTGAGTTGCTATTTTGAAAGCATGTGCATGTCTACTTTAGCCGTTTTACTACCATACGACACCTTTGAGAAAGATATTTCTCCCAAAAAGAAAGAACACAAAACGTGGCTTGTGTAACTATTACGGTCACCGTACCTTTTATAGATTCGCTAGGGTTATTTGAATGACAGGTTATGACAGTGCCCGGTTCAGTTTCTACTTTTCATGCCCTCGTGCCGCTTGTGTCCGCGCAGGAACGCCTTGCCAGTAATTCCTTGGGTTCTTTGCAACATTTAGTTCAGGACCGTAAGTCACCACCGCCGAAGCTTTTAATTGGCTGTGCTGCCTGATTTGCGCATTGTACACGCATTGTGCTGCAATAGTGCTGCTCTCGGCTTTATAAAAAAAGGGCAGCATGGTTTTGCGTATTTCTTGACAGCCTGTGTTTCAGTTTTCTCAAAAATTGAGCTGTTGAGCATAACGAACGCCCAAAACTGTGCGGAAACCTCCTCTAAATTTGCATTTGCCGAGATGTTGTGAACTTCATCTCAAATTGCGTGAATAAGTGTTTTAATCGTTCAGTTGTCGTCGCTCGATTTTTTATTGAAAAGGACCACTGAAACTTTGGTCCATTTGCTTTACAGAGCCAAATTTAGATAATTTCGGGAATGTCGTATAGTCATAAAACGCACTATATTACTGGTATTTCGTTTATTTTTTTGTAATTGTGTTATGATTGTATTTTGCATTAGCAGTGCATGAAGTGTTTTTATCATTGTACTATTCTGGCAGCGCGTTACCGCTCCTCTCATAACCGTACGCGTGGCATCATGAAGAACTCAGACAGGGTTTTTTGAACAACTCTCAATCTTTCACTGCTATACTGTAAAGTCGTAAAGCAAATGACAAACCATTCGAAAGAGCTTTTCATGTTCTTTCAAACAATTTGTTAAATGATGCCTAAGATTTCTTCTCAATTTCGGGAAAAAAAGCGAAAAAACCTGAAAAATAGCTATTTTTGGCGCAATAAAAAAAATCAAAAAATTATGTTTTGCCCTATATTTTCCGAAAATACAGGGTGTCCCAAAACTCTTGTAGCCTAATTTTGCACTGCTTTAACTCAACAATCACTGGTGATTTTGATCTCAACTTACTCACCACAGAATCCTCCAATCATTCTTCGTAAACTACACCCTTGGGGGTAAAAAATGATCTCCATGTTTGACTGAAAAAAAATAAAATTATCAAACCATTTCTACCTCAAAACGCAAAAAGTTATTTCCTAAAAGTTTATTTCTTCCGCTACTGCAAAGATTTGGTACAGCGCGGTGCAAATTTATATCCACAATATAGAGGAGGCTTTGCACTACTATCACTATAATGGCTGCATTTAATTCTATTTCGTCAAGAGAGGCGAAAAACCTGGAAATTTTCAATGCGTGCCACTGCAAATTTTCAATGCGTGCCACTGCAACTATGTCTTTGGAATTTGTTTCAAATCTGTAGAATTGCAGCAGTCACTGAATTTGGAGTAATATCCTCTTCGCATGTTTTCTAGATGGGAATCTAATGCAACACGGATGACGAACTTGGTTTTGAATCACATTGTGGCCGATTTTCTGTTTTCATTTTCCGCAAATGTGTCCAAAACTTCACCATGAGATCTACACGTGCCTGCATTCAAATTTCCGTAATTTCAACCATAAAACTCACAAATTTTTCTAATCATGGTATGATGTAGCTGAAAGCGTGCTCTATCATACGGCACATTTTTATTTATTTATTTACTAGCTGGCTTACCCGGCTCCGCCGTATGTTCCGAATAGAAAATTCCATTTCTTAACCGATCCGGACCAAACTTGGCACACATACACTTCGGGCCCCGGCGGGTGCCACAGCCCACTTTTCGTTATCGATCGATGTCGATTTTATCGATTTTTTGCAAAATTTGAGCTAGGGGGCTGGAATTTGGCAGAGGGGTGTAATCCCACGGGGGGGGGGGTGATCAGCATGCTCGATTACCCCCCTATGCCAACTCCCAGCCCTGTAGCTCAAATTTTGCAAAAAATCGATAAAATCGATATCGATTGATGACGAAAAGTAGCCTATGACACCCGCCGGGGCCCGTAGTGTATGTGTGCCAAGTTTGGTCCGGATCGGTTCAGAAATGGAATCTTCTACGGAACATACGCACAGACAGACAGACAGACAGACAGACAGACAGACAGACAGACAGACAGACAGACAAACAGACATTCAGCTTTATATATAAGATTTATTCAATACGCACAAGGCGTGCCATATTTGAAACAAAAAACGAATACTTAGAGCTTGAACAGTAAAGAAAATAACAAAACATCCCAAAAGCTCGAGTCCAGCTCCGTGAATGGAAGGGGGTTAAGCCTGTGTACCGTGTATGAATATCAGTGCAGATGCTCGGTGGAGTCTGTCCCATGCCCCCCGCTTGCAGCAAAAGTGCTCTTAGATTATTCAACAAGCAAGTATGCGAGGAACAGATGTAATATTGAAAATTTGCCCGACTGAGTTCGGGGGAGAGAGCAGAACTCCAAGATAAAAAATGTGATGTAAAAAATGTCAGGTCAGACAAGCTATTCCCACATAACTACGGAAGGATGAACCGGACCCGAACCACGTGTGGATGAAGTAAAAATCCGAACAGCGAGCGACTTGAAGGTCCGTCGATTACAAACTTGGTACATGAGAGAGCTATCACTGGAAAACCTTCTGCGCGATGAGTGAGAGATTGACAGAGTTGGTCGATAACAAGTACTGGAGTAGGCCCGCAACACGCATAGCGGTGGGTGTGGGAAGGGTTCGGCAGGGTTTGGCCGACAAACGGTAGCACTATACGAGCGATGACAAGAAAGTCCTCTGGAAGAAAATCAGTCAAATTCAACTTCTTGGAGAAAACCAGTCAAATTTAACTTCCTATGTTTTCGTTTGAAAGTGAGACTATCTGGAGAAGACAAGAACTCTTTAGGTAAACACTGAAGATATTTTGAAGTGCGTGCGAAAAAACTATTTTCTGATAAAGAGTTGAATTGTTTACGCCCACCATTTGAATGTAAGTAAACAGAAAGCCCGGTGGTCCTTCCACGACTAGGCCTGAACACCCAGTATTTAGAAGGTCTTAGCTTAGTCTCGCCTCTAAAAATCCTGAAAGCAAGTATTATATCGTGCAGGATCCTACGATGTGAAAGGCTTTTAAGACCTAAGACTTTCATTCGTTCACCATAGCTTGGAAGCGATCGTGGGTAACCACGACTGGGATAACATCTGTAAAAAAGCAAGCGAGTAAAAACCTCCTGGACGTTCTCCAGGGCCTGCTTATGCTTCCTCAGAAAGGGGCTCCCAACCTGACTTACATAAGGTCAACTTGCGCTATTCTACGTTCAAAAGCAGCTGATTCAACTGATGATAACGTCGAAAGTGGAAGCCTGCTAAGCCATCTAGGTGTTCTGTAAAAAAGAGTATTAAATGTTCGTAGAAAGCGTTTCCTATAAATACGTGGGTAATGGATGTTAAACCCACCCTCCTACTACTAGGTCTGAAAATCCAGTACTTACTTGCGCTAAGCCTAATTTCCTTACGAAGGAGGCGAAAAGCGAAAATAAGATCTAGATAAGTTGGTCTAAATTCCAGACTCTTCATTGCCAAAGACTTGAGGCGTTCTTCATATTTAGGCATTTCATCGAAAGCTAATCTTTTACGACATCTCAGAAACAAAATGCGAGTAAATGTTTGTTGAACTTTTTCTAACCTCAAAATGTCTCTTTTTGAAAAAGGATTCCATATCACAGAACAGTATTCGAGGTGAGGCAAAACGTACGCTTTATATAAAAGCTTCAATATCAATGGGTTGTCGGTATGAACAGATCGGAGGATAGAAAAAAGAACTGATTGTGAGTATGCTTGTGATTTATAATTGTGTACTGAGTTAGCACCTGATACCCAATCTAAAATGGCACCGTCGCGGGTGGGTACTGTAACGAATACGAAAGAACTCGAGAAATCTCTGAACTTGTGGGTAAATATGTTGTAGCGAGTCACCAGAGCATCTCATGGGAAGATTAAAATCACTAGCGACCAGGATATTCGGAGTACAATGGGTAGGAGCTATTATTAAGGTATTTTCTAAGTGATAGGATTTATTTTCATGAAAAATTGGGACAAAATTGATGACGACTGCCCGCGTGCCTCGGCGGTGGTAATCGCCAACAGTTTGAAGGCTTCCGTTATCAAGGAAAGATGCTACCACGAAATTCGAATGCTGTGATGTATTTGCTAATTTTTGAATAATGTGTACACCAAATTTTATATCCCTATGTTGTTCCGTTCTGTTTTTATCAGAAAAAATACTAGGCTACAAGATATTTGGGACACTCTGTAGATGAAATCTACGGCAAGTTGCACATCGATGGACAGAGCGTAAAAAGCTCTATCAGATGTTACTTAGAAAACATGCGTTCACCTGGAAGGAATTTAACAACGCGTATCTTCGTTCTCGAAACTGCTAATGGCCATATCTCCTGACTTTAGAAGATGAGGCCACCGAGCTGTCGTGGGTTTGGTGACTGTCCCATCACCCACCCCTCAGTGGTACTTTGGGTGGTCTCACATGTTTCACTGCGCAGATACTGCTCAAAGTTTATAATTTGTCGAAGTGATTAACTTTGCATTTTAGCAAGTATAAAAATTATTATTCATGTAAATGACCTTGTACAGGCATTATCTGAAAGAGAATAACATATTCTAACATCTATCAAAACTGGAATGTCTGATCACCTCCTCTTTCTTGAGAAATCTCCAGTTATTTCGTAAGTGTCCAATTTTTTACCCCCTAATAATATAGGCAGAAATGATCTTCCCTTAGGCTGCTGCACGGGATCAATAATCAACATACTACGGTAGTGATGTATCCTATGAAGCCGAAAGAATCCAGAAGAAACATGTAAGGTGGCAACCCCGAGAGTGAGATTGTTTCGTACAAGAAACGGAATATTAAATGGTTATACTATCGATGAAACAATGCGAATACTGCCCAGACAGAGGCGAGGTAAACAGATGCAACTGAGGGCAAAGGATTCTATGAAATGAACAAGGCAAAATCAAGCCCAAAGATGGCCAGCCTCTCGTGCAAAAAACCTAGTAAAAATAAAAAGTGAAAATCAATACATGAGTTCCGGGAGACTTTGAGCAAACTTAAGACAACAGAATACATGGGTTGCTAGCTACGCACAGCTGAAGGTAGGGTCTTTTGGTAGTGCCTTGGAAGCCAAGTAGCATCGAAAGGCGTAGATCGTTTTCCATCTACCGGCCAGCACCACCGCGGTTTGTTAGGCACCTAGGCTGAGAGCGAGCGATGCTGCCCCACCCCTGAAAGAATGAGAGGTAAAGTTAAAATTTTCCAAATTGCAAATCCTAAAAAGCAGTCCAAGCCTATCCCTCAGGATTACGCTTGAGAAAGGCCTTATTGTGGACATGAAGTGAAAGATGTGAACCACGCCGGCGCATTGACCTACTTGCGCAACAATGCCATTTCTACCTTGTCCAGGTGAAACTTGATAGCCGCTCCCTTGCCGTGTTGGTCCGTCTTGGATTTTCGAATCATTGGGCTGTAGTATCCTCCTCCCACAAAATTTAGGTCTGCTGACCGGAGGGCCTGAGCCTCATTGTTTCTCAAAAAGGCTTTTAGTTGAAGAAAAGCAAGCGCTGCTGCTTGTGCCGCTTCTTCTTCAAACCGAGGTGCTGAAAGAGAAAACCACTAGCTCGCGTAGGGCGGCTGGAGCTCTGTACGCGTTAAAACACATGGATGACCAGTCATCCCGCCAAAGGCTCGGGGCCGCTTCCCCCCCCCCCCCCCCCCCTTGGCCCCGAGCCAATCGAACAAGGTCGCTTGCGAAAGAGATCATTTGTTCAAAAGAATACTTTTGGATAGCATGCACAATGCCAGAGGAGCGGTCGTGGGGTCCCGCGCCAAACGGCAGGCGGAATCCCTTGGGATTGCGCGCGCCGGTTTAAGGGTTATTTTCTCGGCCAGGGGAACATCAACGAACCGGACTGCGCATGGAGGTTAGTGGGATGACCAGGAACCTTACCATAGCAATATCCTCCAGAGCGCGAATCTGCAGGGACACTGCTTTTAAGGTTGGAGCGGAGAGTCCTTACAGAGTGGTTACAAAATCTAGACATGCCTCCTCGAGGATGGAATGTGCGCCGCTTTTTCAACGATTCTGACCCAATTCTAATGTGCACGACCCGGGGGAGGGGGTCAGTTTTCATGGCGAGGGCAGCATGCTGTGCGCTCGAACTTGTTATGTTTTCATAGCGGGGATATAAGCATTTACCATATCAGAACCACCCAAAATGTTTAGTTTTGTCTAGGCATTCCTTTTAAAACGAGTGAAAAACACGACATCCCCTGTAAACACATCATGTGGTTCAATAGAAAGCAAGCTCTTTACTGTTTGTTCTGGAGGACTTTTCAGAGGTATTTAGGTCGAGAACGTAGGCAATTCTATTTTTCAGGAGCGTTCTAGTTCTTCTATAGTGTGAAATATGTTCAAAAGTACGTTATACTTCCAGTTCGAAAGAATCAAGTACGTACGTTTGTTACACTCACAGTAGCGAAGCGCCTATGCACTTGACTTCCGCAAGCGGGGCATGTGCAAACCAAATTGATAGATCGCATGGCGATCGCTAGGAGGATATATGCGGGTATGACGAAAACCTAAAAATCATTTCTATCGAAAAGATTTTGATACCTTCCTCAAAGTGTGTCTGCATGCTCAGCCAAATGTTTATCATGAGGTCCTCAAGCCCGTAGAAATGCAATGCTTTCTCTCTCCTTTCAATTGGTTCCAGCACAGAATCTCTTTTACCACACTGCTAGAAGCAGCCAACAAAACTTATACGTTCAAACCTTCGATCATTGTTAATACGGTTCGTCGAAAGCAATGAACTAAAATGGAGCGGAACAAAACAAAAGCTGAGCTAAACAAAAGTTTTATTGAAGGTAGTGCATCCATCTGACAAATGCTTCGCTTGGTTGGCACTCTATGATAGAAATTCATTTTGGAGTGCATTATGCGAATCCTTGTCCTTGCGTTTGTGTGCGTGGTACGTTGTTCATCTACAGTCTTTTGATTTCTCATCAATTAACATTAGGAAGCAAGCTTTGCCTACTACTGGGGACAGCCTAGAGAAGTCGGCAAGTAGTTTCCTTATTTGGATTTGTTGCGTCTACAGAAACTTTTATTAGAAAACATTGAGGAGTGCAACGATTTGGACATTTATATGCGATTGTATGATGATGCCGAAGACTTAGCTTACTCAGAGTTGGGAGCAAGATATCTGGTATGTAACGGCGTAAGCAAAATTTTTGAATTGAATGGGTATTAGATTATGTTGCAAAAAGTTTTACTCCTCTGCAAAATTTGTGTGCAAACTTAAAATCTTTTCAAAGTTCAATTTAGGGGCGGATGCTCAGCAGCACTAAGCACTTTTGCAGGTTTACGATTGTAATTTCGAGAAAGTAGCTTGTGAAGAGCTAGTGGAAACAGGATTTGCTGGGCGGCTTGGCTTCAGGTTGATTTACTTTTACAGGTAAGCTTTTGTGAAAACATTCACAATCTGCCTTCCTTCTCTCCAAGTCATTTGCAACTTTGACAACTCATCGTTTTTTTGCAGAAACTATACATGAAAGCATTTTATAAAATAAACAGTACATTCAATATTCAGGAGGGTGGATGTTGGAATTTCGGTTATTTCAAATTTTTTGGACGCAGTGGAAAGCTCTGCGAACAGGGTGCACAGAACGATTTGTTTGTTCCTCGAAACATAATGTATGACACTTTTTCTAGAGAGCAAGGCCTTCGGCGATCAGATTTGGATGTTATTTCAAGAAGTTCCAATCAGAAGTTCCAGTCAAAGTCCTCTGCGTTTTCAGAGAGTGAGAGTTCAACTTTTGCTGACTTTGACAGCTAGGACGATATTGTATAACTTTGTATAACTTCAGCATTACCGATAATGGTCCCATATTAATTGTCGAGAGTACAACGGCTTTGTCTACAACAACCACAACATTGTCAAAGCCAGCACCAACAACGACTTTAAAGTCTAATGTCACTCTCAGGTGGAAAGGGTCGGTGACTGCAGGTCCCATAGAATATGACTATGACTACAATGATGGTGGCACTCCTCAATACATCAAGGATCTGGAGGGTTGGACAACCGAATTTCCTTATCAGGCGAAGCCACAACCGCATGACTTTGACGACATTGACTACGAACAGTATATAAAAGACGAATTAGGACACACAAGCAATGAGACCCCATTCGATTTGGAGAAACGACTGAATTCTCAGTGCATGAAACCAAGAGCTTTGACTCTGTTTGAAGCCTTCGATGTAGACGCACAAAAATGATTCTTCAAAGCTTTAAATAAAAGATTTGTAAGAAAGTACTGGAAGCTGCTTCTAACGATCGAATATCACGTCTTTGTTCTTGACCCATCTCATAGTTTTCGCTCTGCTTTCATAAAGTTTTTGTCAAATTGAAAAAAAAGTGAATTATCAAGCTTTTCCAGTAGTACATTTAAAACAAGGAGTAAACTAGAAATTTGGGCCGTATGTTATTTTTGGCTTCGCAGCCGCACAAGGGACCTTGTAAGCATTTGTGGTGAACATCTAAGAATTTTTGTGGTATTTGGAATTTTGTTTTGCTCGAAAGGAGAAACAGCTCATCTGCATCTACAGCTTGTCTTCACACTGTCTTCATATTTGCAAGTGTCAGAGTGACACGAAATTGGAGTCAATGAGAATTGTCACATGCAGCCGTGCTTATGACGTCACCGTGATGTTACAAGCAAGCGAATCGGACCCCTTTCCGGGACGCGCAAATCTTTGCTCCGGAGGTGCGCCAGATTTGGGAGAGCCCCGGAGCAGCAAAATAGGTGAAATGGCAGGGCTCCGGAGCGCTCCAGAGCGCGAAGTGGCAGACTCGCGCCATTTGTTCGCCGGAGGTATTCCTTCGACTCTCTGAGTGATTAGACAGCAAGGCAATGCGTCGGACGGAAAGGCTCGTGACCAAACATTTACATCCTCTCGATGTTGGCATTAGCGAGCCTTGCGAAAATAACTTGAAAGCAGGATGGGAGCGATGGATGGCCCATTTAGCAAGTGCTAGAAGTAAAAGCGCATCAGGAAGACGATGAGCTACTACGCGGTAGCTGTTCTGGTCCATGAAAGGTTTAATGCTATTTCTGAATAAATTATTGCTAGCATACAAAGGCTTTGTGGGGGGGAGTCAGTGATAGAGTTGAGAGAGTTTTCCTATCATTGTTTCTGGTTCTAGGCATGCTTTCGGACATGATGGTTATGAGCGTTTGATGATGATGAGCACGAATGAAAGTTGAATAAGGATATGTTCCTTTGTCATTTCGTTTTTGAGGCTTGTTGAGGCCCATTGAAAGGAGGCAGTGCAACTGCACATTTTTTTGTTCCTTAAAAGGGACGGACTTTGCGGACTTATCTGGCGGAGGGCGAACTCACCTGCGAAGAGGGCTTATCTGCAAAATTTTTTGGCAATGCGAGCGCGCGTTTTTTTTTGCCCTTTTTGGCAAAAACGTGTCTTATCTGTAAATTTTTCAATGAAGTAACAACTGCTCCGTCATCCACCCTAGTTTCCTTCCAGGCTTGAAACTTCGTGAATCATTTCACGAAGTTTCAAGCCTGGAAGGAAACTAGGATGTAAGTCATTATGGGGATTGTCCAGAAAAAAAACGTTGTGCACTATTCGTGCATACGAGCAATTTCGATAAGAACAAATGTGGCTACAGTTCTAATTGCGAGTGACACTAAGTGATGGAGGCCTTCTACCATTTTGGAACAATCTACTTGTGCTCATAAAGCGAAATTTCGAACAATTTGCAATTAACATTGTACACAGAAGGACATCGCTACTAAGAGTGATGTGAAATTAGTGTGTTTAAAATAAAAAATAATAACCTGCTGTGTTCATTATGCAGCTACTCACCCTCATCTACGCATGTCTGGTAGGTCACTTCTAAAGTAAATTATGAAAATTTATATTTTCATATAAGCATATCAGTTATCTTTCGTTCGCCCTCGGTGGGACGGACCTAGAGAAGTCGGTCAGTACAATTTTAGAAGACGCTTTTGAGCCGTGGATATCACGAACTTTTCAGAGAATTACGAAGTATGCGGTACATCAATGGACATCCATATGAGAATTTTTGATGATGCTGAGAATTTAGCTCTCAAAACGTTCGGAAATAAGTTGCTGGTACGCCTCTAACGAACACTGCATAAAATTTTGTTCTTCTGCAATCTCTTCTGCAATTGCACATGTATCTATCAAGTTGAAAACTAAATTTTACAACTCACTAAATAATCTTGCTCTCATTTAATATTAAGCACTTAAATTTTGTCAATCTGTTGCTTATAACGTAAGCTACAAGCATAGCTGCTGTTCGCACATTCTGATGTCGCAGTGAGGATTACGGTATCTATCTTATACATAAAGCTGAATGTCTGTTTGTCTGTATGACTGTCTGTATGTGTGTACGTATGTTCCGAATAGAAAATTCCATTTCTGAAACGATCCGGACCAAACTTGGCACACATACACTTCGGGCCCCTGCGGGTGTCATAGGCTACTTTTCGTCATCGATCGATATCGATTTTATCGATTTTTTGCAGAATTTGAGCTACGGGGCTGAGAGTTGGCACAGGGGGGGGTATTCGAGCATGCTGATCACCCCCGTGGGGGTGATCAGCATGCTCGATTACACCCCTCTGCCAAATTCCAGCCCCCTAGCTCAAATTCTGCAAAAAATCGATAAAATCGATGTCGATAGATGACGAAAAGTAGCCTATGACACCCGCCGGGGCCCGAAGTGTATGTGTGCCAAGTTTGGTCCGGATCGGTTAAGAAATGGAATTTTCTATTCGGAACATACGGCGGAGCCGGGTAAGCCAGCTAGTATTCTATAAAGGGGAAAATTGTAAGTTATTGCGGGGATTGTCCGACATGCTGATCACGAATAACATGCTGAATTTGCATGGTAAGGGCTTCTTTGCAACATTACTGTTGTTTTACGGTATGGGGTCTCACCTTAAGCAATAGAAAAGACTGTAATTTAAAAGACGAAAATGATATTCGTGTTTGTCAGGTCGAATAAGCTCATTACGTGAAGTCTCCGCGAATTTTGACGTTCCCACTCCTTAGTCATTGATGGTTGTCCCCACCAGCCTTGCGTACTTAAATCTGAGAGGGCGCTATAATTCGACTTGTGTTTCAAAAGATTCCTTTCCTATCAAGCCAATTGAGTCAACCTCAAGCAATAATTCACATATAAATTCTGATCATTATGCATGATGTGGGTCGCGAACGGCTTATTTTTGCTCAAAAGCTCGTAAATCCTTTTTATTATTTTGAACAAATGCTTGTAATTATTTAAATTTCGTTTTCAAGAATCAAACAATTTGTGCATGGTTGTCACATATTGAGATCTACATATAGCCAAAGCTTGAGTGCAACATGTTCAAAGAGAGTTAAATTATAAACCAGTTGCAAAACTTAGTTTCCAACCTAATTTGCATGAAGGCATATCTGGTAGATTTTCGAAGCCAAGTCCCAGAAAAATCACGCCATTTTCGCATTCTGAAAAATCTGATAAAAAAGCATGCATAACGCTGTTTCTTCATGCAACACTTCCCTTCTTTTATACGTATTCCATAGCCGATCACCAAGATTGTTAATACGCTTTATTCAGTCAAGCCAACGTTTCGGTGCCTTCACCTTCGTCAGAGCCTCGGCAATCTTCGAATCAGGGTTGAGCAACCACCAAACACAGCGTCTGCAAGCTAGACTACTACGTTTTGGTAAAGGCACGAAAGGTTGGCCTGACTGAATAAAGCGTGTTAACATCTTGGTTATCGGCTATAGAATACGTATAAAAGTAACTACCTCATGCCAAAAATCATCGATAATCGAGCTTGGACTTCCGTTCTTGTTTTCGTATTAGTAGGTTTCAAAGTCTCTTGACAGCAACCCAGTTTTAGTAAAAAGTGATGCAGTGGCGCATATATAGCTTTTTTTTAGATCTACGATTGCAACTTCGAGAGTGTCGCCCGACAAGAGCAGCTTACACCAGGCTATGCAGGAGAGTTTGGATTTGATTCATTTACTATCCACAGGTATCCTTAGACTCAATCACCACACCATATGCCTCATATATACACGATGCATCTCAAAAAGTTGAAAAATTCTGCAAAATTATTTGGCAAATGTCCCATCAATGTTCAATTATAGAAGAGTTGATTCTGGATGGTCCCCGTTCAAACCAGCACTCAGTGCAATAGAAAGCGTTATGAACAGAGTACACAATATAGTTTACCTCGACTAGGTTCAAAAGTTTCTACCGTCTTTTTTTTCAGAAAAAGAAGCCAGACGTCAAAAGATTTGGGTGCTACTATATGGAATACAAGAGTCGCGAAAAGGTGGACGTCCTTTGTGTCTTTAGAAAGTGAAGTTTCATAAAGAATTTCATAACGAACTGCATAATCTATACTCTAGATCTTCAGCATAACTTTCGAACCCATACGGAAAAGAAAAATTGAGTCCACTCATTCGACAACAGCACCTACGAAGCCATATACAACCACTATGACAAGCACAAGTCCAAGGACTAGTGGACCGGCTGGTGTTACTGATTACGACTACGATTATAGCGATACCGGCACTCCCGTCTACGTCGAAAAATTGAAAAATTGGAATCCATATGACTTTGCAACCAGACCACCCGTGACCGACTTTGAACCATTACCCATTAACATATACGAGGATGAAGAAGAAGCCACTAACCAGATAGCCAGCTATCCCAGGCCATCGTCGAGCGCTAAGGGGACACCCACCTCGTTTGTGAAAGGCGCTGGAACATCCTCAAACGAAGTGGAGTCGGATACCTCCAACTCTTTGAAAAACACGGTCAGTATGGAAAATATGTTGAACTCCATTAGGCTATAAGTATGCTACAACTGCAGGAAAATAGTAGGTAGAGATGTAGGAATGTTCCTCTAGGATCTACAGGTTGCATAATTCAAAGCTTTTTGTAAAAACGAAGGCACTATAATGCCGATATTGATACCTATCTCTCCTTCTTCAAGCTCGCTTTTTGATATGAAATTCTTGCATGTTCTTTGCGTTGACGAAAGTTTTGCGCACTATTTTCAAAAAATCGTAACTTTCTTCATTATGTACTTGTGAAATCAATTGATTTTGAAAAACAACTCATTACTTATTATTGATGCCTTTGATACCGCCAGCTGGGCTTTACTCGCAATGATAAATCTAAATAAAGGACATAATAACCCGAGTTTGATTTGGGCAAGCAGTTTAGAAC